CAACATAGACAGCACCCTCTACTCAATTTGTCACCTGAAACGTGCAACAAAATATATCCTAAGTAGCGCATTTTAAATTTGCAAAAATGCAGACAAGCACCATCCACTGGATCTGTCATCAGAAATGTGCAATGAAATAAACCCTAGGTAAACCCTAGGTATTGCAAAAATGTCTATAGTGTCCTGTACTGAATCTCTCTTCTGAAACATGCCACAAAATGTACCCTAAGTAACATTTTAAATTCGCAAAACCATACAGCGCCCTCTAGAGCATTTGTCATCTGAAATGTGCAACAAAATGTACCCAAAGTAATGTATTTTAAATTTGCAAAAACGTAGATAGCACCCTTTACTGAATTTGTCATCTAATACTTGCAACAAAATGTACCAAGTAACGCTTTTCAAATTAGCAAAAAAGTAGATCGCGCCCTCTACTGGATCTGTAATCTGAAACGTGCAACGAAATGTACCCTAAGTAACGCATTTTAAATTTGCAAAAATGTAGACAGCGCCCTCTACTGGATTTGCCATATAAAATGTGGAACAAAATGTACAGAGTAACGCATTTCAAATTAGCAAAAACGTAGATATCGCCCTCCACTGGATCTTTCATCTGAAATATTCAACAAAATACACTAAATAATGCATTTCAAATTCGCAAATACATAGACAACAGCCCTGCACTACATTTGTCATCTGAAATGTGCAACAAAATGTACCTTAAGTAACAAATTTTAGATTTGCAAAAAAAAGTAGACAGCGCCCTCTCCTGGATTTGTTATCTAAAACGTCCTTCAAAATGTTCCCTTAAGTAACATATTTCAGATTCGCAAAAACATAGACAGCACACTCTACTGGATTTGTTATCTGAAATGTGCAATGAAATGTATACTAAGTAACGCCTTTCAAATTCGCAAAAACACAGACAAGTGCCCTCTACTGGATTTGTCATCTGAAATATGCAACGAAATGAACCCTAAGTAACAAATTTTTAAAAAGCAAAAATGTACGCTAATGCATGTACTTCCAAAGAGTCTGGGTTGGTTAACTTGGTGGTGCATACAGAAGATAAATTACATTTTGTTTCACTCACATGGTTTACACAAACATGCAAGTCTGATGATGCTCCAGTACTACATGTAAAAATCACAATCTCAAACATCTCGGAATTATGGGAAACACTGGTGAAAAGCATAACATCAGCCAAGCTACAAAGTCCATCTGACCACTCACCTGGGGAAAACAAGATAAGGTCGTCCAAGACAAAAAGTCGATATCCCTGACTCCTTGGCTAGCGCTAAAGATATTCTGAGCAACAGATTATAAGCAAGTCAAAACACGTTGGGGAATTACCTTCAATTAGAAACGCAGACGGTATGGTTTGTCTTTTTTTGGAAGAGATGGATCTGTTATAGTGGACAGCTTGTTTAAGGTGTTTTATTTCTTTATTTTTTTTTTTCATGAGAGAGTAAGAGAACAAGAAATTGAAGATTAAGAAGAAGGTCTAGCAAACGAACCAGGTTCTGCTGAAGATTATGACTGTGAATGCTCCAATTTTTAGAAAAATTATTTAATCACATCAAAATATGGCAAATGAAAAATAAATCACATAAGAAATACGAAGATTTATAATCTTCCAAAAAAGATAAGTGGTGTGTCATGCTGTTCATACTGGGAGCCTTGATGACATTTTCACATCCAGTTGTAATTATGCTCTCAAAATCACGGCCCACTTTTAGGCCTTGTGTTAGGAGGACAACATTTTATTGCATGGCAAAGTAGAGGAACCCCGACAGTTAATTTAGTGTGAGAAATTTAAGCCGATTAACCACATTTGCACCAATTGCTGAAAAGGTTTCAGGGGCCACTGAACAAATTTAGGCAATTTTCCTTCAGTTAACGGATGTCTAAAATTAACAGATTGGCTTTATAAAGAGGTTCAAGTTTTGAAATGAGCTTTTACTTCTCTACTGTCATGACCAGAAAACAGCAAAGCTTTGTACAATGATATTCAGTATCACACAAGAGCTATTTTTCACACCACATATGATGAGTAACAAGTAACAACACAGTAGGGCTGCACAATCAACTGACTAAATTATGATTTTGACTGGCACTATGTGAACTAATTTGTGAGGTCTAAACTTTAACGCTTGAAAAATTAAGGTGTTTAATTCTGTTATGAGAAAAAAGAAACATCATCTAGCTCTCAAAAAGGACCATCAATATTGAGCCACTCACTAACAATGTAAATAAAACTCATTAAGGCTGGAAAGCACTACATGACTTCAGCATAGGGTTTTTTTCTCTTATCTGAAGTCTAAATAAGTATTTTTTGAAGGTCAGAGATAATTAGTTGATTTTGGCCAGTCAATGTTAACTTGTTTTAAGTGTTTTTATTGGAAATTTTTGACCATTCTTCAAAACAGCACATTTGTTAGGTCAGGCACTGAGGTTGGACCTGACTTGAAATCTCTGCTTTAATTTATCCAAAAGTGTTCAGTCGGGTTGAGGTCAAAGCTCATACAGCGTCCTCTATTGGATTTACCTTAAGTAACGTATTTCAGGATCGCAAAAACTTAGAGACGGCCCTCCACTGGATTTGTCATCTAAAACGTGCAACAAAATGTACCCTGAGTAACAAGGCTTTCAAGTTCGCAAAAACGTAGACAGCGCCCTCTACTGAATCCGTCATCTAAAACATGTAACAAAATGTACCCTACATAATGCATTTTAAATTCGCAAAAACGTAGATATCGCCCTCTACTAGATCTGTCATCTGTTGTTTACAACATAAATAAAACTCCTGAAGACAATTTTTGCCTAATCTGAATAAGTATTTTTTGAGCAAATTAGTTGATTTTGGCCAAAGTTAATGTTTTAAGTTTACAGAAATGTATAAGTGAATGTGAAAATGAAAGCGAACATGTATTGTAATTGTATATTTGACTGAGGAACTACTTTTTAGCATTGTATTTTTCGGTTTGTACCGAAAGGAGTTTTTTTATTGGGAATTTTTGACCATTCTTCTAAAAGAGCTTTGGTCAGGTCAGGTACTGATGTTGGAGGAGAAAGCAATGTCCACTCTAATTCATCCAAATTTGTTCAGTCGGGTTGAGGTCAAGACTTTATGCAGGCCAGTCAAGATCCTTTCACACAAACTCACTTATGTCTTTATGGAGCTTGCTTTGTGCATTAGTGCGCAGTCATGTTGGAACAGGAAGGGGTCATTCTTAAAGCCTGGTTTATACTTCTGCGTCGAGTCATCGGCGTGACCCACGGTGCATGCCTAGCACGTTGCGGTGCATTTATACTTCTGCGCGTTGTTTGTGTTGTTCTGCAATAACACTTCCAAAACGCTAGCTGGCAGAAGGTTTTTATGTTCCCCTGTGTCGAGTTTCTTTGCATAAACTCTGAAACCCAACACTGCACCATACCGGGATTTGTAGAGGGGTCCTGGAAAAGCTTAGTTTTAAGATTTATCTAGCGCTTCCGCTTATATGCCTTTAAGCTAAAGAGAATTGGGACACCCCTTTCCCTTCACGTGAAGGTGCAAATGGAAGGGAAGGACAAAAGGCTGATTTATACTTTAGCGCACACGTATGCTCCGGCGCAGCCTACGCATGGATGTATAGCCCTCGCCGTGGCCGTCGGCGAAGCTGATGTGCCACTCTTTAAATATTTAACTACACGTCGCAACGACGGGTAGTGCAAGTTCTGTGATTTCGTTGGCTTGGTGAGAGCCCTGCAGGCCTGATGGAGCGATTGTTTACAAGTGTTGAGTCTCGTAAAAGAGCTCCAGATGGAAAGTTTTGCTTTGTGTTTCCCCTTAGATTAAAGGTGCTGAACGTCCGCCGATTTCCACCTCAAAATGAGCAAGTTTGAGCCACTTGTACATTAAGTTAGCATTTAGAAAAAACAAAACAACAGCGAAGAAACTCGACCCAGAGGAACTTAAACACCTACTGCCAGCTATTGTTTCTCAAGTGTTATCGCTTTGCAAATACAAACGCGTAGAAGTAAACGCGCGTAGAAGTATAAATTCACAGCTACGTGCATTGCATGCACCGTGGGCCATGCCAATTCCTCGACACAGAAGTATAAACCAGGTTTAAGGGGTAAAATTGGGATTGGGCCATTGTATGTATGTGTGAATATGCAATCCAGCATAAAAGACTCTTAGCCTGTTGGTTCATTAAGATTTTAACTGAGCATATCATAGTGCATCGTTTGCGTTTTCATGTAGATGGAGATCTTTTAAACAAAGTCAGGGAAAACTTAGTTTATAAATATACCCTTGACATGGCCTCAGTTTTAAAATGTAAAAATGTAGTTATTACATTTTCCCAAACTAAAGCGCAATAAAATGAATTTAAATAGCAGTAAGCAGCTTTATGTCATGCAGCTCCTCGCAGAAAGCCACTTGTTTTGGGTGAGATTGTTTTGTTGTGCTAAAGACTACCTAAAAGTCTGACAGTGTTGGTTCGCATAGCATTGTAAGATTAGATATTTAAAGCCCTATAGTGTATTCAAGCCTTATACAAAATAAACACAAAAGCCTGATTATTTTATAAAAGAAACAACATATTTTAATGTGAAAACTACTAAGCATAACTATTGGCAATTAAAAGTCTAACAACAAAGTTAACGATAATCGTGCAGCCCCACAAAACAGTGTGCATGAGTTAGTGTCTTTCAACCAGGAGTTAAGACAAGGGACTGGCAACATGCACCCATCTTTAAACACCTTCCGTCCTGGTCTCTGAGTGATCGTGCCCAAACTAAACTACACAGCAGCACTAACACATGCAACGACACATGTTATTGCCATTGGTAAGTAATCAACACAGCATGCTAACAGACATTTGGGAGTGGGTCATTAATAGATGCCCTTGTTTCATGTAAATGTAGTATAATCCAATGATCATCCTAAAAAAGTTACAAATCCCGTTCCCAAATGAGCAGTGAAGGGACTCCAGCTAATCTACAAGTTTACTTACGTCGACAGGGACCAGGAGGCTTCTGCCCAGATGCTGGTTAAAAGAGAGGCACCAGGCTTCAGTGTAGCCATTCATGTTGGGAACATACTTCTTTACTGTCTCATCATTCAGTCTGAGCCAGACACCATCATCATTGTGGATCTATGGGAAACAAGCAACAGAGCGGAGCCATGCCCTCCTGTAACTGCTAACACGCCCCCTAGCATGAGCTTCTGAGGCTGCAGGACCAATCCGCTAATGCACAGCACCAACCAATTGGATTTACAGTGGGTGTGTGGATACGTTGAGGGAAATTAGATCTAGAGAATTTGTAAATGCATCTATAATGCTATTGTCGGTTGCCAGCAGGGCCCTTTCACATGACTCATGTTGGGGCTTCAACATACTGCTCAATTAAAGCATCATGCGCTACTTTGAGCATGTGGGGGGAAAGTTAGCAAGAAAGCAGCAAGTGCAGCACCACGTCTATAAATTTTCTATAAACATAAATAAAGATAATACCTCAGAGATACTGGAACAGATTATGCACGTACATTTTTTTGTCTTTAATTTTGACTGTGTGTTTTTCTTGTGATCTTACAATTTGTCTAATTAGTAGTACTCATAAAGGTCTATAGGAGTGGTTCTCAACCTTTCTGACCCCAAAGTCACAAATTTTCAAAATGATTTTTAATCAATCAATTAGGGATGTATTAATACCACTTTTTTTTTTCCAAACCGATACCAGTACAAGTATTTTAAAGGTTCAAGAGACCCTGGAGTTATTTTTCTAATATTTTAACAGATTTGTGTGTGTTGAGCATCAGTGTTTCTAAATCACCTTCCTGGAGGATCACCAGCTCTGCACATTTTCCACGTCTCCTTAACCAAACACACCTGATTCAGATAATCAGCTCATTAGCAGGGACAGAAAGTAACTTGTGATGGGTTTGACAGAGAAAGGAGACATCCAAAGCATGTAGTGTTGGTGGTCCTCCAGGAAAGTAGTTTAGAAAAACTGAGCTAAGACAACGCTAGCACCATTCTGCTTTAATTGTGTGGAAAATTGGATAATTTGGAACCTTTTGTCAGCTAACTTCATCTTCTGGGTAAAAATAATTTTTAGAGCGGATCAAAATCGGTGACGTAGTGCGAATCTGCTTATGGAGTGATGACGCCTCAGTTTCTTATTATTATTCATAATGGAGTTTACCTATTCAATGAGAAGACCCTGCTTCTTAATTATTCCTGAGAGCACGTTCATTCCGAAGGCAAGGCAGACCTGCCAAGCTGTGAGAGCAATGAATGTGTGAGGCCATGTCTGTGCACAGCACGCAGTATTTAGTCATTCATGAAGGGTCATAAGTGTTGGTTTCCATGATCCACATTTTTTTTTTTTTTTTGCTTGGTTTTCCTCGCAATGCTGTCAGGGCCGATACAGCAAAGCTGTTGGTTTGCAGCAAGCATTTTTGAGAGTTATACAAGAATTAGGGAATGGCAGACTTTGTCTTTTATCAGTTGAGTTTGTTACCATTCATACACATCGCCTGTTTCTGTGCTGCCTATTTTTAAAATCCTCCAGATTCCTGGCAGGGCTAATGGTTGAAATAAATGTGGCAAGAGACCTGCTGCACTGCTATTCACTGTGTCTCCATTCAGACTCGGAGATTGAAGAGAAGATAAGTCCTCCTCATTTATAGTGTTTATATAAACATGATTTTTCAATTCAATTCAGCTTTATTTGTATAGCGCTTTTACAATGTAGATTGTGTCAAAGCAGCTTCACATAAGTGGTCATAGTAAGTGGAAGAGTGTAGTTCAGTTTTTAGTGTTTAAGTTCAGTTCAGTTCAGTTTAGCTCAGTTCAGTGTAATTTAATCATTATCTATATAATGATATAACAAATTGTGTTTACGTGTATATGAAATTACGAATAACAAATGTAGCAGGACATTAAATTACTTACTGTTTATTTCTTGGCATTTTAACTTTGTAAACTATGAAATCATGCATCTCCTCACAGTTTGTGTCACATTTTGTGAGCCAACTGACAATAGATGTTCACTCTCCTCTTTTTCCCATGCTCTGCTGGCCAAGCCCACTCCACTTTTTTTCTGCTGGCAGAGCTCCACGCCCATCATAAAGCATTTTTTGAAAAAATTCTGAGGCAGACTTAAACCGAAAGAGGGGGGTTTCACCGCCCTTTAATTTGTGTACTTGCTGAGTACCGATTACGATACTTCTTAAATTTGGTTTCAACGTATATGCAATTAATTTGAAAGAAGGTTTTATTTTTTACCTGTAGCAAGAATAAAAACTAAAAGTTTTAATAGAAGACTATTCCAAGCCAAAAATAGACACATTGTTGATAACCCTGTAAATTGATAGACCATATAATATAATGAAATATAAAGGATAAGTTTCAGGGCTCCTTCATATGTGGAAATAAATCAGATATAAATTTATATGTGACAATATGACTATCATGTAAACAGGCAGATTAGATTTGAGGCATTCTGTTTTGAACATCATTAAGCTTGCGACAATGTGGTACTTCTCCGTGGTTTAATGACGTAGAAGGAAGGGCGTGTGACGGCGTGTGAAGACGCCGACACGGTAAACAACAACAACAGAGGAAACATGGATGAGTCAAAGTGGTCAGTTGGCCCAATTTGCTCCTACCAGACCTGGGCCACTAATAGTTACTAGTTATTTTGCAAGATGTTAGTATTAAGCTTTATATCCTATTTAAGAGATTTGCTCTGTGGCCAACTGAGAGAAAAAAATATTAAGGGGACTATTAATGCTTACTAATGATTCTTAAACGGATCTTAAAAAGATTTTTAAAATGCTTTTATTCCAGCCAAACTGAAAGAAATAAGCCTTTCTCCAGAATAAAAGAAAATTGTAATAGGAAATAATGTGAAAATATCATTGCTCAGTACTAGAACTTCATTTATGTAAAGCTGCTTTGACACAATCTACATTGTAAAGCATTATTGAAACAAAGGTATTAAATTACAAACTTAAATTTCACAGGAAAGCTTAAACGAAACCAAAATACATATATATGTATAAATATATAGGGCTGTTGACTCAACACCACCTGGTTGAGAACCACTTGTCTATTGCCAATGAGTCAGCAAAATATGACAGTTTTAGCCAATGCTAATAGGCGATGCTTCTCTCTATTGAGTTCACTGCACTGGCGGGTCATGTGAAAGGGCCTTTAGAGAAACTGACGGCATTGTGCATGTGAGACTGGATCCTATAGGAGCTATCAGTGATTGGCATGCAGCGTTGGGCTGGGATGGATAGTTCCTATATGACAATAATCTACAGCCTCAAAGTCTCCTGCATGTGAAGCAAAAGATAAGCAAATGAATGCTTCAGATCAAATCAAAAGTCAATTTAGAAGCTCAGAGAGATGCAGAACTAGTGTTAAAAGCCATTTAAAACTGAGGTGGTTAAGAATTCAGTTGTGTTCAGTGATTAAAGGAAGAGAAAAACAGAAGCACTTAAAGGGATAATTCACCCAAAAATGAAAAATCGGTCATCATTTACTCACCCTTCACCTGTTTGAGTTTCATTTTTCTGTTAAACACAAATTAAGTTGTTTTGAGAAATGTCTGACTTCTTTTTTACCAACTATGGAAGTCAATAGTTTACATTTTGAACTTATTTTGTGTTCAAAAGAAAAACGAAACGCATAAAGGAAAAAAACAACTAAGGGTGAGTAAACAATTTTGGGTGAACTATCCCTTTAAATAGAGAACAGTTGGGCTCAATTCTAGAGAGGTTTACCTCGTCAATGAATGTGATGGTGCCATTGACTTGGACTATGCCTATCTGTTCGCTCTGCAGAGAAGGGTGACTACGCACACGCAGCCCTGCGCTGTCCTTGGCCACAAATTTGCGCACCTGAGAGAAGCAGAGGGGGAGAGACAGTGAGACAGATGAGAAGATGGCAGGAAGCTGCAGTAGTCAGAGAGCAGGAAATCACAGCACAGAGAGAACAGAACCCGCACATCCTGTCAGACGAGAGAAATGATGAGGTGTGAGACAATCGACAGCGAAGAGCAGGAGAGACATTTGATTGTGCTGTTGTGTTGCTTGTTTCCCAGGTTAATGCTCAGTAACGAAATATGTGACACTATTTGGGCACAATCCCAATTCTAACCCCAACCCTTCAGGTAACGTGAGGGGGTGTTCTAAATCTCTTTTTTGCTCAGGGGTAATGGGAAGTGACATATAAAGGATTTCTATTCTAAACCAAATGTAAAATTCTGTGTATTTTAATGACTTGAGCTTAATGTCCATGATCTATAATTTAGAGAAACAGGAGCCATTGTGTTTGTAAATATTCGCTAAATTTAATACATTTTACTAGAATTATTTTTGAAGCATCATGTGACACTGAAGAGACGATTTAAAGGCACAATATGTGGTTTTGGCCACAAGATGGTGCATTTTCACAACAAACAAAGGCATATTTTGATGACCCTACGATTAAATGTAAAAATATGGTTGTTGTTGTCTTCATTACATCCAACAGGAAAACAACGGCTGCTTCCGAAACTGCATACTTCCATACTATACAGTGTGTTAAAATCAGTATGTGGATGACTTACTACTTTCGGCGAGGTTCTGAAGTGTGCACCCAATGCGCGCTGCATTATCCCATGATGTCCCGCATGAGAATTCATGAATGGGAGTGAAGCGACGCAACTGACGCAGGTAAATCACATGACCATGACAAAATGGCTGATGTAGTACATCTGAATTTCATTCATACTGCTCACAGTCATACGGTTTAGAACGTACTTTTCTAACGGCAGAGTAGTGCGTTTAAATTCAAATGCTGTACCTACTGAGAAGTAGGGGGTTTCAGACGCAGCCAACAACTACCCACAAGACAGAAATCATGATTATAGATTAGCTAAATTATTCAAAGCTTATTATCATATTAGTATAAAGCAGAATAAGGGTGAAAGCCAAAGAGATGCCATAAGTATGCCACAATACCAAAATAATGCCACAGTCGACTTCTGGTTCTTCTGGTCATGATCACTTAGGGAAGAAGCAGGGCTGTTTTATCATGCTAAATATATTTAAGTGCTCTGCTATAATGCTGCTCTTTGCAGTCTAATAAAATGCATTTAAAGCATTGTCATTGCTTTATTGGCGTTTCCCTGTTGTCTATAAAAACAAACCAGAAATTGAGTTAAAATTGCTTATTTCACTGGATTTGAATGGTCATTGAAATTTTTGTGAAAATGTAAGTACATAAGTCAGCAAAAAGCAACACTGTTCTAGTGGTTTTTGGATATTTTAATCACAAAGATCTTACATACTGTGCCTTTAAATCCAAAAAATATATATTTTAAAATGTAATTATGAAAGTAATTTTGATGAGCATAACGCCCCATTTACACAGGGCGTCAGCATCAATGCTTCCCATTCACTTTGAATGGTGACGTCAGGCATAGCCGAACTGCATTGTGGATCCGTCGGCAGCGCTTCAGAGGCATTGCTCGCTGCAGAAGTTGGGACTAGCTCAACTTTTCAAGTGCCGACGGAAGCGTCAGCCAATCAGATCGCTGTATGCAAAAACACCAGCTAGACAGTGGCCTATTACTGATCGCGTTAGCCCCAACTTCAGACACGCCTTCAGTCAAGTGTTGACGCTGAAGTCCCAGGTGAATGGGGCATATGAGTCTTCTTTAAAAAAAAAAAAAAAAAAAACTACAAAAGTATATTACCAAACGTTCAATATTGGCAAGTAAAATTGCCAATGATCAGGAGTGTTTTCAAACCTCTTAAACTTATCAGTTTGAGAACTCACCTTGCTAGGTTGAGGTTCAGCTTTAGGTTTGACCATCTGTGTGCCAGGAGGGATCATTCCTTTGGGTGGGTCTTTGACCTCGACCTCCAGACCAGCATCTGAAAAAACATTACTCTAGTCAGCATTTCATTATTAAAAGCATAGTTTGCGCAAAAAAAATCAAAACGTATGAGTTTTTTTCTTCTGTTGAACACAGAGAAAATTTTTAAAAAGAATGTTAATAAACATCAGCTACTGCCTTTCATAGAAGTTTTTTATACCTATCATGGATGTCAATGGCTTATTTAGAATAACAGTCAGTGTTCAAAAGAAGAAAGAAATCCATGAACATTTAAAACCAATAGAGAATGAGGAAACAGTGAAGAAATTTGTATTTTTAGGTAAGCTGTCCTTTTAAGAGCTTTATAATATCACAGCCAATGTATAATCACTAAGGAGAATTAACTTCATTCAATTCAAAGCAGAGATATGTATTTTAAAACCTATTTTATGTTTTTGAACATTTATGGCCCTATTAAAGCAATACCAAAATAAATTGATTGGGCAAATGATATTAAAACTAATTTACATATAGACAAAATAGATTACATTTAAGCTTATAATGCAGAGCTCAAACATCGAAGTGTATTAAAATCTGAATTGCAGTTACCGATCTCGATGCCATCGATGGTAACATGAATGGTATATAGTCCAACAGCACCAGGGGTCCAGTTAGCGCTGTAAGTGCCATCTGTGTTGGCCCGGATAAGCATGTTCTCACTGGGCCTGAGGAAAAACCAAGCAAATTGAATTTGAGACCTGTTCTTACATCTCACTTTGGTCTATGATATATATTAAAGTCAGGTAGAAATGTAGTCTTTGAACCTTTTTGGTGTTGGTGAAGCAAAGCGAAGTTCCTCAAAGGAGTAATTTTCATATGCCTGGATAAAAAAAGACAATAAGTGACATTTATGTAAAGTGAACCCAAATCTACTTAATTATACAATTTGATTATTTATTAATTAATTATTATATTTTGATAACTAACCTGCAGACAATGTATATTAGGGGTGTAATGATACACTCAGCTCACGATACGATGTGTATCACGATATAATGTTCACGATTCGATATGTATCACGATATTTGGAATAAAAATTGAAAATTAAACTGAAATGCAAATTTTACCAAGTAAACTATTTTTTATGTATTTCTTTTGTTTCAACTTGTTAAACTGAACCTTCTTTAAGAAAATAAATAAAACAGGCCTGTCTCTGGAAAATAAAACAATTTAAAAACTTATTATTGAAATGACAGAGACAAAATTAAGGAAAAATTTAAGTAAAGGTGCAAAAAAAATAAGCTTTCTATTCAATTGAATTTAACACTAAGAGCTTAAGGCTTTGCTTGGTCACTTGTGTTTTTTGTGTGTGCAAAAAAAATCCACATTTTCAGGTATTTAATTCATATTTAAATAAATTCATTTAGAGATATCTGTAATTACAATTGTGACTAGTCAAAACTCATTTAGAGATTCTGCAAATATTTTTCAATGGAAGTCAATGGAGGAATATGACTAGTCATAATATATTTGCAGATATCTCCAATCTGATTTTGTACTAGTACAATTGTAATTGCAGATATCTCTAATTGTCATTCTGACTAGTCGAATTATAATTATGACTATTCAAAAAATAATTAGAGATATCTCTAAATATATTTATGGATAGTCAGAACAAAGGTTTAAATGCTAAAACGGCTTGCCATACGCGCGCATCTATCAGTCCGCCCTCTGTAGTAACAGCTCACGGTCAGCTCACGTCATGTGTGATTTTGCGGCGGGAACATTATATGAAGACAGAATGATATTTTAGGGTGAATTGTACCTTATAAATACAGTATGTGACTCTTTCAACACCATTAGAAGGTATCCCTGTCGCTGTGCAAAGTATGTAAATCACTGTGAAGACTTTAAAACTTAGGATGTTTGACCCAGTATGCGTGTCAAAAAGCGGACGAGTCTAAAGCAATGACTGTACAACCGAAATGTTGCAAGACGTCTGATTTTAAGAGGATGGGCCATCCTTTATTTCAGCTCCACTCATCTTGGTCTGCTAACATTACTGCTGCTGCAATCTGAACTCACGTGCGACAGCAGGTGGAACGTAGCTCACGTGCAAACAGCTCAACTAATAAGAGAAAACGGACGTCGTATCGTAATCAAATCGTCATAACGCCACGATGCATATTGTAACATTTTTGCATCGCAATAAATCGTACAACGATAAATCGTTACACCCTTAATGTATATATTTCATTTATAGCACATAGGATGCTTACATTAATATAAAATATTCCCATGTTTAGGACTTATTATTTCTTATCATTAGCCCCTTTCACACAGTGATACTGGTAAATTTCAGGAAAATTTCCGGAACGACTTTACCGGTAGTTTCATAAAAAAAGGTGTCTACACAGGCACTGTTGTTCTGTAATTTTTCGAAAAAAGACCATTCACACATCCATTCCAAAATACTAGTAAACTCTGACATCATTAACCAGAAATGAACTCTAAACGGCAGTGCTTGTATTTCTAAACATAATAGGGGTCAGGTTGGAGACATCCAAAGGCTGAAAAGCAAACCGCAGCTAAATGTTTACACACTTGACTGCGTTACAAATTACTTGCTTGGATAAGTATTGTGAACAACTTATATAAAAACAAATGAAGGAACACTTTCAGATGTCGAGATGTTCATAATATGTGTGTGCGCTGGCGCTCACCGGCTCCTTCACGTGCACACGCATCAAGCAACTGAAGCATAGCTTGAAGGTAAACAAACGGCGGTTTATCAGAAAGCATTTTATCGAGAATTTTTTACACAGTTGGCATTAAGAAGGAACATAGAAACGTTATCTGACTAACATCTGGCAGCTAAATGTTTCCGGAAAAATATTCAAAAGCTTTTAATTTCACAAACCGTGCGGATGTGTGTTTTGATTGGCTAAAGCAGATGCCTCACGTCAGCGCGTTCTACACATGAACGCCTAGTTTCCATTAATCTTCATTCTGCGTTCACACAGTGCAGCATTCCAGCAAATTACAGGTAATGTTACAACTTCTCTTTCAGGAAAATTGCCGGAATTAATTAACTGGTATTTTCAAAAAGAGCTTGTTCACTCATACAGACCTCTCCGGAAAATTGTCAATAATTTTTCGGTAAGGTCTATATGTGTGAAAGAGGGTAAAGTCTAATGTAGCCATGTTTCACTGTTGCAGTTTGACACTCAGTTAAATTTAAAAAGTTAGTATTTCAATCTTCCTCCTTTAATAATTCCTCTTTCAAGTAGAATTGTTCTTTCTCACCTCACAATAATAGCAAAAACTCTTTTTAGCTTTTAAGCATAATTATTGTTTTTTTGTTCTGAAATAATTGTATTTTGATTCGAAATAAAAAATTTTTTGCTTTAAAAAGATTATTATTTTTCTTACCCCATTTGCAGATTATTTAGTTTGTTTTAAGGAATAACTTAACTTTGACATATTATTTATAAAAATGGGACAAGAATAATGAAAAAAAATAACAATTTTAAGATAAGGTATTAAGATTAGAAGTTTTAGATATTTAGACAAGAACAAGATAAAACTCCAAGTAAAAAAAGCATTTCTGCAGTGTAAGGAGAGTTTTTTTTATTAAAGGGTTGGTCCAACGTGTATTTTTAAGGCTTGGTTGTGTTTATGGGGTGCAAATCTATGTGTGCTCATGCTTCATTTGAAGAAATAATTTATTTATTTTAATTAGTTATTTTTTTCATATATCCTACTTTGATTGTATACAGCTACTCAGCTAACATAAAAACGACTAGTTTTCTAGTTCCTCTAAAGACCCGCCTCCAAGAGGCTCTGATTGGTCAGCTAATATAATGTGCTGTGATTTGCAGAACAGCTTTAAATCACCAAGAAGCGTCCCTGTTACAACATTACAGTGCCTCTGGCTACGCCCCTTCGCAGCACGGGTTGTATGTGTGTAACCTGAAGGGTTTATGACAACATTAAGCCGGAGGTATTTAATTTTTTTTGTATTTCCCAAATTTAGTTCGCTGTAGGCTTCGCTAAGCTTACTCTGTAAAAGCCAAGTCTCCCTTTGCATTGAACTTTGAGCGTCTTATATTCAGAGATGTTGTTTATGTTCAAACAGCTACATTACACATCAACTAAAGTTTAAAATACATTATTGTTCAGTTCAGCGCTTCCCTCCGCTGTGCCTGTCAATCATTCACCATTCATTCACAATTCAAATTACGCATCTCATTCATGACAACTCGAAAAAAACTCTCCAAGAATATTTGATCCTGTTAGTTTAAATAATGAGTGGAGAAATGAGTTTAGTTTTGCATAAAATGGCTTCATTTTGACCTGCAACAAGGAGCTCTTCCCTTCAAGAGATGGAACGAACCTTCATCATAGTGATGGCGATATAACGGGCCTCTTTGATGATCATGGGCTCGTATGTCGCCTCCAGTTTGGGTGCTGGATGACCACCAAATGTGAGATCAGTGCCTGTTGCAGAATTAGAGGAAGTGCCTGGCAAACGCTGCAATTTCTTCATGTTCTCCTGCTGGATGGACTTCTTCTGAGAGACGGGAACAGCTTTGACTTCAACCTACAACACGGAGAAGTTGTTAGATGTCAGTTTCATAACACAGCGTTTGATTCTATAAAGATGCTGACCTTCATGTTCGGCACATGCACAACATCTCCATACTGATCTTTGGTCTGGACCACAACAGTAGTGGGCCAGCCACAGCGGATGTCATCTTTGTTTAGGATCAGTGATGTCTTCTGAGGGTCTGCGTAGGAGTCTGGCTGAAGCCACCTAGGAATAATGGAAAAAGATGTTAGGATGAGAGTCATAAGTTATCAAAATACTGTTGGTGACGCAAAGTGAATTTCCTTAAAGCAGTAATTTTCATATGCCTGGACAAAAAAATAACATGGAAAAAAATATTAAAGAAAAGTTTATTTTCATTTTACTTGGCAAAAAAATTTTTTCGCTTTAAAATGAGACTATTTAGTTTTGAAATAAGAATATTTTTATGTATAAACTCACTTCACTTTGACATTATCATTATCAAACAACCAATACAAACAACAGACAATTTGTATGAATAAAAGGCATAGGGCGGCACAATATTACAAAAACGATTCAAATAGTATTTAGGTGAAGGTATTAAATTGAACAATCAAATTCAATGTGATTTGTAAAATAACAGTACACAGTCTTTGTTGTTTAAATAATGAGGTAACATTGATATCTTTATTAACCCTTTGATGCACTACATGGGTCTAAAGTATCCTGTTTAAGTTTATTTTTTCTATATCTATTTTTTAGCTTGTGCATCAAAGGGTTAAAGGGCTCCTATTCTACCCCCTTTACAAGATGCAATATAAATATTTGGTGTGTCCAGAATGTGTCTGTACCCATCAGATCATGTTATTATTCCCTGGTGAATATGTGAAGTTTAGAGTAAGATTACATTGCAGCTGTTCTGTTCCCCGTGCCTTTAAATGCAAATGAGCTGGTTCTCATTAGACGCCATTCCAACCTGAGTGTCTATGGGGACTACAGTCCTAGTGCCATTATAAGGCATTAGAAAGATGTCATATAGGCTATATCCCAAATGTTATGAAGCCATTCAACAGTTTAATGTTCCGTACAGATGAATAATCAAGTGGTTAAATTCATGTTCAGTTCAGCGCTTCCCGCTGCTGCGCGTGTTAATCATTCTCCATTCATTCACAATTCAAATTCCGCATCTCGTTCATAACTCGAAAAAACTATCTCCAAGACTATTTGTTCCTATTAGTTTAAATAATTAGTGAGGAAATGCATTTAGTTTAGCATTAAATGGGTTAATTTTGACCTGCAACAAGGAGTTCACTAATGATTCTAAATCATGTTGTACTGTGTCTGTTAGATCAGCAGATCGCATTCACAACACTGGAGTAGAGAGGGTTATTACTTGCTCGTCACACACAAAGTAGGCCTACCTGAAACTTTAAATTAGAAAAGGCTCAATAATACATTGGACAGAACAACATTGGCCGTGAGTTTAGGCGAGGGGGTGTTTATTAAGTAAAACTGGCCTCAGACAGTTAAGTGTAGTCTGCTTCAAACTTGCAGGAAAAATTCAGGCTTTGCTAAAGGGCTGGTTATTTTATCAACGATTATGGTCAATAGTGGAAGCCATTACAGATTTCAAAGAAAAATCTTAACATTAAAAAAGGAAACGTAAGCTAGAACACAACAGATTTTTAAGTTAGATTGTGTTGTCAGTCATATACAGTAGGCCTATAGGTCTGTTATTTTTACTAAAAAAGATATATTATTTGAGTTTATCAACTGGGAACTATAGAAACTGTATGTATTAAACACATCATGTTTTTTCCTTAGACATAAATATTCCTTAAGTAGCTGTTGACATGAAATTGAACCAGATTTTGGTTAAAACCCAAACAATAAAATCTAAAAATAAAACAAGAAATCTATTAAAAAAGAAAACATAAGCTAAACCACAACAGATCATATCAATGTCATAACAAATGCTCAAATAATGTAGACTAGTTCACAGCAATCACCAAGTTTTTAAGTTAGATTGTGTTGTCTGTGATATATAGTAGGCCTATAGGTCTGTTATTTTTACTAAAGAAGATATATTATTTGAGTTCATCACCAGAACTATAGAAACTGTATAATGCTTAAAAAAAATACGGCACAGTTTTGTAATTAGATCTGTATTGGTCGATACTCAGAATTTTGGCACTGGGATCAGATCGCTATGCTATCGGTGCACCCCTAGTCACTGAGAGTGCTTTCACACTAGTACTTTTGGTCTGCATCCAGGTTCGTTTGACCTCAAAGTACGGTATGTTTAGCTAGTGTGAATACTGTCTCTTGAACCCGTACCGAGTCTGCCTGAAAAAGGTGGTCTGGGGAATGTTGCGTAAGCGAATGACGTATCTCTGTAAACCTATAGCATTCAGCTACGCGTCTAGCTCTACCTTTCTCGTGTTTGGTACCCTTTCGAAAGGGTGCCAAAGAAGTGGTATGGTACGGTTTGGTTCTATACGCCTTTTGACAGTGGAAACGGCCATAAAAGCATACTAAACCGAACTGTACCACTCAGTGGAAATGGGCCATAAGTCTGTATTACCTACCTTTACAACAAGCAGGATTAACTCAGTGCAAACAGTGATAATGTCTGCTTGTCTCCACCAAAAACGACTTCTGCAGACATTGCATAATGTACTAAACATTTTTTTTTTTTTTTTTTTTGTAGCAGATAGATCCAAATGGCTCTCTGTATTCTGGTTTTGATAACAAAACCAAAAGTTTCAGTAAAAGCAAAATGGCCATGATATACGTACGTCTCCATTTTGGCGCTTTGCTTTCGTGGTTGTGACCTAGCAACAGCTGTACACAAAACAGCAGCTTGATTACACAAGCGTACCGAGGGGGGGCAAACATGAAAACAAACCACCCGATGGGGGACAATCGAACTTTGGTTCAGACCAGACATTCGAACCATGTGTGAAAGCACCCTGACATTAAAGTTTTTGCTCCCTACCAGCAAAAAGATGAAGGCAGACGGTTGTTTCCCACTTAGAGCTGTCTATGCATTAGATTGTCATTAACAATACGATTAATTACTGTGTACCATTAGAGGCTGGCTATATCCACACACTGTTGCCACACAACTGTGTTTAAACCACTTCTAAAAGTGTTTTTTGCGTAATAGGTCCCCTTTAAACTTTCTTATGATAAACATTGTTGGAGTTCCAGTAAAATGAAAAGATGACAAGTAAAATGAAAGATGCTGAAATAATAAAAGAAATGCTGAAAAATGTTTGAGACAGACCTGGCGAGTCGCCCGCCACTGGAGCTCTGCACGCAGGTGATGAAGTCCTCTAGGAAGGAGTGTTCGTTGGTCTGCAGGTGCAATGGCAAGTTCCCTTCCAGTGCTTCTAGGATGGTGGGAGAATGAGACAGAGCCAGTCCCTTCCCCAGGAGCCCGGAGTGGGATTTACAAACCTGCTCAACACAAAGACACTATTAAAGACGTCATTGAAGATAGTAAGAAAAACCGAAACTATTTTTAAGACAGTACCTGGAGTGAGGCCTCCTCTAAAATCTCCAAATCCTCCTCCAGTTCATTTCCTGTAGGATAAAATATATATATATATATATAAGACAAAAACAAGCAGTTACTTAATTCATTCATTCATTTTCTTTTTGGCTTGGTCCCTTTATTAATCTATACTTATCCAGCTTATGTTTTAGGCAGCGGATGCCCTTCCAGCTGCAACCAATAACTCGAAAACATCCATACACACTCTTTCACACAACATACACTACGGGCAATTTAGCTTACCCAATTCACCAATAGAGCATGTTTTTGGACTGTGGGGGAAACCAGAGCCCCCGGAGGAAACCCACACAAACACAGGGAGAACATGCAAACTCCACTCAGAAATGCCAACGGACCCAGGCGAGGCTCAAACCAGCGACCTTCTTGTTGTGAAGCGAACGTGCTACCCACTGTGCCACAGTGCAGTCCTATTACTTAATAAAAAAAATATTTTTATATAAACTATATACAGTACTGTGCAACTCTTTGGCCACGTTTGATTTGTCCCTTTAGTATAAAGTTTTCTATTAACTTATAATATAGTATACTAAGCTCTCACTCATCACCTGAACAGAAATTATATTTAGAGCGAGGGAAAAAAGTATTAAACACATGTTTTTTTCCTGGACATAATATTTCTAAAGTAGCTCTTGACATGGAATTGAGCCAGATTTTGGTAAAAACCCAAACAATAAAACATAAAAATAAAGCAAAAAATCTAAAAAAATTTGTTGTGTAATAACAATGAAATGACACAAGGAAAAAGTGCTGATCTACTGAAATGTAATTAATACCTTAAATAAAAGGCTTTTTTGATGATGGCAGCTTAAAGATGCCTCTCATATAAAGAATGAAGTAAAATGCATTGCTCAGGTGTGAGTTTTTTCACAGACTTCAACAGACTGTACAAACCTTAAAGGTTCTGTGGGTCTCGTCTATCAAATCTGATCTATAATTTTTACTTCATATTGGGTTCAAGTCAGGTGGTTGGCTGGGCCATTCTACAGCTTGTTTTTCTTTCTCTGAAAGCATTCGAGAGTTTCATTGGCTGTGTTTTGGATCATTGTCTTGCTGAAATGTCCACCCTGGTTTCATTTTCATCCTCCTGCTAATGTAGATGTTGGACTGAAGCAGCTAATATTAATTTACAATGAAAGGGCAGAGAGTTGCTGAATAACTACTGAGAGATTTTAGCTGCTGTCTGGGCTTTTAGTGCCTTTCTACACCTCCCTTTCTTCATGTGTTCAATACTTTTTCCCTGTGTCATTTCATTTTATTATGCAAAACTTAATTTGTAAACTAATTAATATTGTTTTCTTTGCATATATAGATTTCTTTCAAGTCAATGACATGATTAGAAATATATTTTCTGAGAAAAATGGTGACACTGTACATATAATTATATTGATTATGAAATGATATATTTATATAGATATTCATGATATTTATAGACAAAAACAGCTGAGACAGCCATGAAAAACTTTTGCACAGTACTGTATATATTAACTGCTTTAATGTCTTTAAAGTCTGTGTGAACTGAAAGCTGTTGAAACTTATTTCAGTATGTTGAAACTGAATACTGAGTAGGGGGCAGGGCTTTTTTGCGCATTATTCCCTCGTAGCAAACTAAGAACAAGGGGGGTGTGGTTCTGAATATTGTGGGTAAAGACACCAAACTGATGTCAACAGAGAAGGACTTTAAACGTGGCCATTTGGACTCTGATCTATTAAAATAGACATCACACGTCAGCCCATGTTTTTCATCTAATGTAAAGCCTACAGTGCATGGGAGTAGACGATCATCATCCAGTCAAATGGCAGTAAGGCTTAGCATGTTGTAATTAGAAAAAAATCCACTACACTGAAAAGCAGCATGGCATCACTTCACTCCTGACTCAGAGTTAGCCACATTTACTATGTTTTTATACAGCTTTATTGATATGTTTACCAATATTTCATAGATTGCATGCAAAAAAACTAACAAAATTTTACTAACTTACTAATTAAAGTTACATTGCAAGCTTTAGATCAGGATTTTTTCATATATGTGTGTCCAGTAGGATATACAATGGGTTATGCAACTGAAATTAAATCTCCAGTAACGCTGATTGCTCTTTTATATAAAAGAATTATATCTATGTACAAATTCATAGCTGAAAAAATTGCAAAATCTAATTATTTAATTTACAGATCTTGAAGTTCTTGACCACATAGCAGATGGAAATATCTCAGATGTGGACATTATGTGGAGTGATAAGGAAGATGAAGACAAAGTTTGTTATAAACAAGGAGCAATTTATACAACAAAAACCTTCAAAATTAAAGTAAAAATGTTACAATGTTAATGTTTGTGATTTTGAAAATAAATTTCAAGATTATGCCAGCAATTGTGTGTGTTTTTTTATATTTTATGTTGGTATAATGTTAGAATGCAGCTGGAATGGCATCCGCTACGTAAAAAAAATTTGCTGGCTAGTTGGTGGTTCATTCCACTGTGGCGACCCCTGATTAATAAAGGCACATTACGGTTTCTATCCATTTTCTCCAATGCTGCAAAGAAGCAGTCACTCTTACCTATGGGTAGGGCAAGATCCTTTTTCATGAGAGCAGCCGCACACACGCTTCCTAAATAGGCCAATTCCTTCTCCAACTGAATAATTCCCTGAAACCAAAGCAGCATGACAGATGTCTCAAATACATATGCAGTATGGCTCACTAATCTTTTCTCTGATCTAAAGCAGACCACGTGGATGCTAATGGTAAACAAAACGCAACTTAGAGTCTACAGAGGCTTAACATGAACCGTTTATTACAGATGCTTGTATTAAAATCAGAGCTACTTTTGTTTCTGTTTAAGATGCTGGCATGCAAATAAATAACAATGAGGGATGAGGCTTTTTAAAAGTGATGGTAATATAGGTTTCTGAAAAAAATTCATTTCATGCACATCTTAAGAAGAGATTTCGTACCTCATCAAGTCCAGGGTTAAACTCGTAACCGACAGCTACACATTTGAATCCGTAGAAAGAGGCTTTCTCATCCTTCACATAATCCGATGCAGTTTCCAAGGAGAAAAGGGCTTCGTTACCTTGCATAAGAGAAAGTAAACAGGTAATGAGTGAAAAAACAAGGTAATGAACCGGTGGAAAATAACAAATTTTAATAATAATGATGGTGGATGACAAAAAAATTATATGCTGCTTCCCAATTTGCATACTCTCAGTCCTAAATAGTATTAGAAAATAGAATTAATGAGAATAGTAGTAAATTAGATATGAAAGAAATGTGGATGATGTGATTCTTGACAAAAAGTACACACTTCTAGGACATAGTACAAGTAGGCAAATTGGGACGCAATACAGTGCCCATAAAGGTAATATTCTAGAAACAACTCCACTATATGGCTGTTGGAATCTAGTGTGGATCAAACCCTTAGTGACATATCGTTTTACTCTCGCACAAGTGCCTGGAAGTGGCATATCTCACTAAATCTCGTGTTTTTAATTGCTGATCATCATAAAAACTGACTGTGACACATCAACAGCATATGAATGAGCATGAGAGCAAAAAGTAAACATTTATAAAGTTGGTAGACTGGGACATAACTATTACCTGGCAGCACTAAGACAGCCGTGGGCCAGCCACTTGAGCCAGAGAACTTCTTGAGCTCAGTCCAGCTGTTGATGGTCTCGTGAGCCAGAGCTTTGGAGCTGAGCCCGGAGAAGTGCAGCGATCGGCTGGGGATCAGGAGACGGAGGACATCTTCTGGCTGAGCTGTACCACACTGAGGATCAAACTCAACTGTCATCCAGCGAACACAGTCTGGGAATGAAACCTAAAATCCAGAGCAGTGGGAATGTGATTAAACTGCTCTGATGAAGGAAGACAGGTCATAGTGCATTTTAATTTGTGACAAGAGAATCAATAAAATTAAATGGCTTTTATCAAGAGAAGCTCAGAATATGTTGGCCTGACTAAGATTTGTGTAAAAAACACTCAAGCGTCAAAGTTATTATTTGATTACCTGGCAAGCAGAAGTGGAAAGAGGAATAAAACATGTACTTAAAAGTAAAATAATTCTCAATTACCGGATAAAGTACTGTGACAAAAAACACTTCTGTTATGCTGCGTTCCCACCAGATGCGGAAGAAGCATCAAGAGCTGAGTGATTTACATGTTGTCAATGCAAAGGCGCGAATAGACACCCTGTAGCGCGATATGCGTAAATGGTGCAGCGCGAATTGAGTGTTTTGTGCGTTTGAAGCACTTAACGCCAAACCACGCGAACTGCTCAGGTTGAAAAATCTGAACTTCAACGGACATTCGCGCCACATTAACCAATCAGGAGCTTGCTCTTGCGGGGGCGTGATTATGACGTTGCGCCTGTTGTTGGTGTCCCGGGGGAAAGTCCTCCTGCACACACCAACAACAGTAAATCAAACTGAGCTCGGCTCAGTCAGAAACACCACTGAATGCTTCCATCATTCAGGTTAAGTTTCTGGAGGAGTTTATGAACTCACAGAGCTGGGTGCACCTCTGAAAGGATCTAGTAAACTCAGACACTGCTTCAAACAAAACGACACTGTTTTCCAGCCTTCATAAAGCACATAAACACAGTTATTTTCTCAATAAAATCCATGTTATCCATTTAGCAACGAAGCTAGGGTCACTGAGTAGACAGAAGCCCTGCCCATCACACGAATCCACATTTGTTGTGAAGTGAATTTGACCCGGGAATGAAGCGAATAACTTAAATGTTTAAGCGGCTATTTACCCGCAATTTATCCACGCATTTTGCGTCTGGTGTGAACACAGCATTAAACAAAAAGAACATATTTTGAAGAATTCTGGTTGCTGGAACCCACCGACCTCGATACAGGAAAACAAACAGCATGGAAAACAATGGATCACAGCAACCAGCATTTTTCAAAACATCTTCTTTTGTGTCCAATAGAAGAAAGAAACTTGAACAAGTGAAGTGTGAGTAACACACACACACACACACACACACACACACACACACACACACACACACACACACACACACAGAGAGAGTACTAGTTATTAGATACTTGAGAACACTGTTAGGTAGCTGATGGGCATACTGGGTGGTTGTTTAGTTTATATAGTGTTCTGGAATAAGCTTAAAGTGCTACTGGGAAGCTGATTGTGTGTTTTCGGTAATTGTTTTTAGGCATGGGATGATAACGAGCTTCAAAGTTTATCGTGGTTTGGAAAAGTCAAGGTATTAAAACTGTTTAGGTATACCAGTCCTATGGTACATTTTTACGTGTTTTTTTAAATGACTATTTAAATGTTTTATTTTTCGTTCAACAGTATCTCTGGCAGAAAAGGAACATTTACATCAAAGATCAGCCCACAATTCAGCAAACATTTCAGAAATTCAAAATCTCTTTATACACCAACATTCAAACATGCTATAGACCTGAACAGTGCAATGACTTTACTTTATATCCTCAGAAAAGAAAGATATCCAAAGCTGCCTTTTCAAGTTGTGAAGAATTCTGTGTTTTTGAAGCAGAAGGCAAAGATTTATTTGAATTATTTAGCCTGACATGATTACTTTCCAAAATTATTTTCAACATTCCTTAGAATCAAAAAATACTGTGTTCAATGGAGAGAAAGTTGTTAGAACATAACATAGAACATAAAAGTAATCACAATATCGTGATAACATGACATTATTATGCAAGGTTTTCAAACACTTATCATCAATCTTATATCAGCCTGTGACTATTTGTTTGTGATCTTCTCGTGGTTATGGAAGATGTTGCTTAAGAACATATTAGAAAAATGTGCTAAGAGCAAGAAAATGTTAACAATGTTAAAGGGGTGGTCCAGAGTGTATTTTTAGGCTTGGTTGTGTTTATAAGATGCAAAGTAATGTGTGCTCATGCTTCATTTGTAAATAATCACGTGATATGTATAGCCGTTTCAGTTTGAGCCTGAATTAGACAGAAAATGAAGAGAAAATAGATGAACCTCACACCTTTTTTCTTAAAAAAATCCTGAAAAGTGTTTTTCATATATATTCGGATTACAAGCATGTTTAAGTAATATGAAACATTTACATATCTTTTGCGAGTTCATTATTTGAGATGTAGAATGCAGGGAAAGCAGCCGCATGGAGAGACACTGTAGTGCTGCTTAAGATTGTGGGTGTTTTCAGCGGTTTGATGGATAAATATGAATTTGTAGCTAAGTTGTTAAAGTTGCCAAAAAGCATTTCCTGTTGTTTACATCCTTGTTTACGTCCTTGCTACAACATACCTTTAACGCTAGAAACTTTGCATGTAATAAATCAATTTTAACAATTTACAGGTTGGGCTCCCAATCCACACCTTTGTCAAATGCTAGAGCTATATATTTCTTTCTATGTTAATTCTCTGGAACATAATTGAAATTAAAGTGTAAGCACTTTGTGTTGTGTCCTTTAAAAGCCCAAATACAGAAACAGAAGAAGCTCTGTGGAATAGCAGCGGTTAAACAGCATTTTAACATAACAAGCGCTTCTGGCCACACCCATTTGCTGCGCGGGTAGTCTGCGAGTTGTATTTGCGCGTGATCTAAAGATCTCATTAACCTGGATGTATTATTTTGTAGTCCCCAAACTTCGTTTGCTGTAGGCTTTGCTAAGCTAACTCTGTAAAAGCCAGTGTCTCCCTTTGCATTGAACTTTGAGTGTCTTACATTCAGAGATGCTGTTTAGGTTCAAACACAAAGTTGTTGCAAGCTTGTAAGGTGGTTGCTAGAAAATAAACTGCTAGATTTGTTGAATATCAGGAAAAGAGAACTCCAGTTGTACCTTGTATTGAGTGACACCAGCCTGCTTGTAGGGGTGATCGCTCTCTAGAACAGCATAATGATTGGATGTGGTACAAGCTGACAGGCCCTGCTCTGGCTGGTTCCCAGTAGTGCTGTCAGTGGATTGGTTAGGGTTGAAGGTGGGCGGGGCATATTTCTGGTTCAGGGCAGAAACAGCTGGAAGAAGTTCCTGAACCAAACCAAACACCTCCACCGCAGCCTAACAAAAGATGGCATTTAGACAATTCAAAGAGTTTGGCATCAACAAGTATACTGTGAAAAAAGAAAACTAACATTAATTGACTTGGCAGGGGACACTGTTCATTATCACATAAAGATGCAGGACTGCCAATTACATAAAGAAAATCTTACCTTAGGAACAGAGGCAGCCACAGGACCAATATATGCCAAAATAAGTGGAAGCAGCATTGAAAAAAGACTGGAGGAACTCAACAGCTCTGGAATATCTTCAACTGTAGAAACATGAGAAGCATCAGACAATGTGCATTCATGGTAAAGCAAATATTACTGTTTTAGGCTAAAACATTTTTTTATTTCTATCCTTTTAACAAACGGCATTGCATAAAACCAACAGTGGACATGTAATTAGTAAAGAAAATAAAGGAAACGATCCTCACCATCCACAGCAAAGGCCCTATGAAGGAGGTCTTTGGCTGCCCGTACAACTACGCTGACTACAGAGAGGGCTCGACTGCAATTCTTGTCCTCTTCATTGGCTTTGCTTAGCAGCTGTGACTGAAGATCACCATCATATTCACTCCTGCAATACACAGGCATAGTCATTTAGTTTCCATCCAAAGTCGCTAATTAAACTTATGGGTAAAACTGTAAATATTAACGATTAAAGGACTATTTTCATTAGGGGTGTAATGGATCACGGTTGATCCCTGATTAGTACAGATTACTACCCATGGCTCAGAACACACGTGGCCTGTGGATTAATTCAACATTTGTTTTACTGGTAGATTAATCCTAAATTTGTAACGATCACAGAGAGATCGCCTCTTGTATCAGTCAAATAACATATATAAAAGCATTTAGGCTTTCCTGTCAAATATAAAGATGACGAAAAAAGTTGTAAAGGGTTATTCGGGATGTGGCTGTGTTTATTAAAGGTGTTTTCTGTCACTACTTGTTTAGCCTGCATCAATGCATTCAGTGTAGGCTGCATGATTAATAAGTAAAAGATCGGGATCTTAACACCCAAGCAACAGTAATAATTAATGACGGTGATTTGCATATGTTTATTAATCATTCAAACAGCTGCCTCAAATCTGTGTTTGAAAACACAAAACTCAAGAAAGTGAATCAGTCTTTAGTCTTTTAGAGTTAATTATGCATTACAAAAATGGCAAATAACAGAAGTACTTAACAGTTTATAGTTTAGATATAACCACTGATGTCTATAGTAGTCTATAGTCTATAGCAGTGGTCACCAAACTTGTTCCTGGAGGGCCAGTGTCCTGGAGATTTTAGCTCCAACCCTAATCAAACACACCTGAACAAGCTAAGCAAGGCCTTACTTGGTATACTTGAAACATCCAAGCAGGTGCGTTGAGGCAAGTTGGAGCTAAATCCTGCAGGGACACCGGCCCTCCAGGACCGAGATTGGTGACCCCTGGTCTATAGAATAAAATCAACGTTTTAACGACGCTCAAAAATGAAAGTTGTAGGCTGCAATCATATTACGTAACCAAGAGGTGGCGACAACCAGCCATCAAAAGTATGCCACTGAATAATTCTTCAAAAATGACACGTCTAGCAATTAAACAAAGTTTTATGAGTGAATAACTGAATCATTTATTGAAAATGAGACTAAAATTAATATGGGTTGCACAAAGTATGTTAGATTTATACATGTAGTGTTATCAGCAACAGTAGTAGTAACAGTAAATTTTTCACAGTACTGAATATTTTACAATTTATTTTTATTCAGCTGATTATTTCTTCATTTAATTTTTAATAAAAGTACAGTTTCCAAGTTCTGTTTGTTAAAACCAAAAAGTTCTTGCAGTGCTGTTTTTGTAATAAATTGAAAGCAAATTACATTTGTCTCCTCCCCTTCTTGGCTGATTCAAAAAATGATCCGATCCGTGACTAAAAAACCCATTATGTGATCCGAACCATAAGATTTGTAATCTGTTACACCCCTATTCATTAATGTGTTCCAAACACGCTTATTTTATCTCTTACAACAAAATCATTGTTCAATGTCTGCTCCTGAATACTGTTAGACTCTCAAGAAAACTATAAAGCACTGTTTATTTAACTTTCATCTCTGTATGTGAGAGATGAAAGAGTAAGTAGTAAGTTTAACAAATAGATTTGCTTCAAATCATCCTAATCGCAGTGTCCGCATATTCAGAAATATCAGTTTGTTGGCAAAAGCCTCTAAACGCTACTTGCCTTTGACAGCAAAAGGCACTATATCCAGAGAACCAATCAGAAGGCGCATTTCGAATCATATGTTTTAAATGTAGCAGCGCTCTTTAGTGATTTTTCTATGTTATTTCAATGTCTTGTCCCAATAGATGGATTTAGAGGTTTTTGCAAAAAAAAGCACAAGTGGATTTAGCTGGTTGATGCAAAAGAAAGTTATTTACTAGCTAATAACCCTATTACCTATAAAATAAAACATATGAACCTTATCAGAGAAGCCTGATAGAAAATGCTCATTTACAAGAAAAGAGGTCTGATGGGTTTTGCATCTAAATATATGTGTGTGTGTGTGTGTGTGTGTGTGTGTGTGTGTGTGTGTGTGTGTGTGTGTGTGTGTGTGTGTGTGTGTGTATGTATATATATATATATATATGCTAGTAATTAAGTATAATTTATGCAAACGCATATCAATCTAAATCTAAATGAATAAAATCATTCCAAATAAAGCTATTCAATCCATCTGGTGGAATTATATTCATATCGCACTATATATTTCAGGAAAACAAAATATCACAATGTCAGATTTGTCCAATATTGTGCATACTTGAATGTGCGAATGTGTTTTCACTGTATTTATGAACATTCTTTCTTATCAAAAAATTTTTTTTATCCTTCTCATTTATGCACAAACTGTTTATGAGCATTTTCAAAATTTATGCGCATCTTGGCAATAATATCAAACATCTTTGTATGCAACATTTCGAAATGCGCATTAAAATAAGTTCATGAAAAGTAGGGGTGGGGCGGTTCAAAAAAATGCTGGATTTGATTGGGTTTACATTTCAAAAAATAAGTCATATTGTAACATGAATAACATTTATAAATGGCACAAATCAGCATAAAATATATAGTCATAATCTATCATTTACAGTATTTAATGTAGTTATTTTCAAAGTATTTAATTAGTTATTCTCAAAGCAATGTATTATGATTTTACTCAGTCAGTTTTCATTTAGTCTATTGTTATTGATTAATGTTAATGATGGCAGCGTGCTAGTTTTGGCTGCTGTCTTTTAAAAAATTCTTTCATAAAAGTATACTTTCACTGCTTTTACACCTGTATATCGATTGTTTTGTTCCAAAATGGATTAAAATTGTTACAATGTTGCTCTTTGTTCTTGGTGCGGTTCGCTTCCACACGGCAAACTTTTCAAACAAACCAAAATACTTCATGTGAGAGTAAACTCTCCTTACATTTTCAGTTTCACAGTTAATTTTCATTGTCTCACAGACTCCGCTCAGCTGTCATACGTCACTATTTTAATTTATGATTATGAGCAATAAGACATTAAAAGTGAAAAGCTGCGCTTTAATTTTGAATGTCGACAGACATCATCAACAAATCTAAATCAAGGTAAGGGCTTCTCATACATAGCCTCATTTTAGTTGTCAAGAGTGGTAAAAATCTATCTATCGAATCAATCAATGCCCGTCATTTTATTTTAACATTTAGTTATTTTAAAATAAGAATAAAATATTTAATAACTTTGTTTTCATTATTAATTATGAGCTTTAAAAACACTGGCTAGAATTCTGCACTACAGGCTTACATCATAGAGAGAAATAACATATGAACCAAGACTGCAGTCAGATCACGAAGCAGATGAATGTTGATCTTTCTTTCGAGTTGTCAGTGCAGAAATAGGCCTATTACAAAATAATATAAAATTAAAATCTGAAAAATGATCAGACGGTAATTTCAGTTAGTGTCCTAACGGATAAACAGCTATCATTACCATTTCATCATGCCTTCACTTGTGTAATCGATTGTGCAATCGATTAAACGCACATTTACCAGTAGGAATGATGATATCCCACCCTACTCATAATTCTCCTTCATTTAGCCGTATATATGGCTATTATATAGCCATAATACACTGTCATATAGCCTGGTTCGCTAGTTCATTGAATCGTACTGCAATCGATTCGGTCCAGAGTTTGTTTCAATCATTTGTTTCGCTCATTCAGGCGATCTCAGACTGATTGTTTGGGTGTGGATCAGGGCACTATTGCGCTATTCACATATACCAAACCAACCGCACTAAAACAAATGTCTAGGTGTAAAAGCACCCTCAGACTTAGCTGACTATTACATACGAGTATTCCAGTGTTGCTACATACATTGATCCTATATTTTATGGTGCAAGAACTAGAAAAGAAAAAAGAGAGAAACGCTCACAAGTACGAGTATTGATTTTCCACTGCGTCTTGCGCTGGAATCTTTAAACTGATAAAACCTGAGACATGTGTTAGCAGCACTAAAGAGAGAGAGAGAGAGTGCCCGTCAAATGGAAAAAGAAAATAAAGCTAAAACTTTCATTACACTTGAATTCGGTTGCCTTGCCACGATTATTATTATTATTATATATATATTTTTTATGAACCAGGCCATCCCTAAAGGAATCAGTTAATAATAGGCAGCATCTCTAATAAATGATGTTATCTGAAGTACAGACCTGTAATAAAGAATCTGAGGGATCTGGCCTCTGGTCTGATTGGTGCCATTGCTGCTCAAGCTGCAGGTGCTGAAGGTAAAGGCGACTCCATCAGAGCATTGCACGGTGGTCATGCCTCCGTCCCCATTGGCTGTGCGGCTGCCATAGTTACGCAGACGAACGGCGTATTTCACATTTTCCTGCAAGAGCAACAGGGTGTGAGTGAGTCTGTGCTGAAGTTTATTCTTTGCATGATTCAAGTGTAAAAATTCACAGCACCTTCAGAGGAACAGCTTTGTCCAGACGGATCTCGGCGATGTCACTGGGGGAGTCATCAGTGCTGTAAGTGCCTTTGACCAGTTCTAGAGACGTCCATCTGTGGGAGTGGGCGGAATCTCCAGGGTGCTCCGTCTGAGCCTGATAACACAGGACAGATGGACAGAACGAGAACACAGAGGAAAAAACACAACAGGGTTAGACTTCACCATAATCAATCCACATACTTTAGGCTCTGGTTCATGTAAAAATGAATTTGTCTTAAACCAACTTGATACCAAGTACTGTATTTTCCAGAATATGTTCCATTATTATCATCAGGAACAAGCTGTGGCTTGTATTCCAAATCAATCCAGAATAAAACTTCAAGTATGCAATAAAGTAGGGCTGAGCAATTTATTGTTTCAGCATCGATATTGCAATGTGTGTATCCGCAAGTCACATCACAGTATTAGATTAAAAGAAAGATATTATTCAATATTATGTTTATATTATTGTACACATGCCCATGTTATTTTACATATTTAATATTTTACATTTTACATTCCTGTCCAACCAAATCTCACATAGAAAGCAAATTGCATCATATTGACCAACCTCAAGACATTGCGCTTTATAAATAGAGCAAACATTTTGGAAGCATTAAAAATGTCCACAAATATCCAAAATCTTTACACACAATGACTTTTCATAGACTGCATGTCACTGAGGAGAAAATAAAGGATGTCAACTGGATGATGACTGAAATCACCAAACAGCCTTAAACAATTACTAAATGGAACTAATCAAGAATGGAAGGAAGGGCCGAAAGAAGGAAGTACTGAACAAGGAATGGAAAGAAGAATAAACTACGAAAGGAAGGATGAATGGATGAATGAATGAACAAAGGACCTAATGAAGAAAGGAACAAAAATATGAACGAAGGAACAAACAAATGAAGGGAGGAACAAAGGAAGGATCAAATTAATGAAGGATTCAAGGAAGAATTGAATCAACTATGGGTGGAAGGAAGAGTGAATGAATGAACGAACAAAGGACCTAATGAAGGAAGGAATAAAAATATGAACGAACGAATAAATGAACGAGCAAACGAATGAAGGTAGGGACGAAGGAAGGAACAAATGAATGAGGAAAGGATTCAAGGAAAGACTGAATCAACTATGGGTGGAAGGAAGGAACAAGCGAATTAATGAATGAACAAAGGACCTAATGAAGGAAGGAACAAAAATATGAATGAAGGAGCAAACGAACAAAGGGAGGGAGGAACGAATGAAGGAACAAATGAATGAAGGAAGGAAGGAACAAAGAAATTAATGAATAAAGGAAGGACAGAACCCACAAACAAAGGAAGGAAGGTTGGAAGGATTAAATTAATATAGGAAGATCACTAAATGCCCAACAGAATGTTAAGTTTACTGTACAAATTACATGTACAAAAGTATTTACTACTCTTGAGTACTTTTGAAAGGGCTACTTTTTACTTATACTTTGAGTAATGTTTACAACAGATACTTTTACTCTATTTGCACTGCATTTTGGGCATATACTTGTACTTTTACTCAAGTATGAATTCTCAGTACTCCTTCTACCACTGATCACAATATATATCGCAGCAAAACAAAATATCACAATGTCAGATATTTCCAATATCATGCTGCCCTACAGTAAAGTGCAGCAAAATAATGTGTTAATAAGATAAGTAAATAAGATAAAATGTTAATAAGATAAAAGTAAAATATATATTTTTTATTATTAAAAAAGGTTTTAAGATTACTTAGCTAACCCAATTGGCAGATTATTTTACTTGTTTTTAACTCTCAGGGGTCTGAGGTGATTTTGGGGCCCCTGAGATGTTTTGACATGCACTGACATTTGTGTGTATTTCAGCTGCTTTTTACATAGTACTGACCAACATGTATTATTTTTTTTTGTATTCAGCACATACTGTGCTACAATAATATGTAAGAAATATTGATGTACATGATTGCGTTTTTTAGAAAAAAAAATAAGCGTGGTTGGTAAATTTTAAAGAAAAAACTGTATATAGTCTTATAGGTTACGATATTTACTTCGCAATTATGTGAAAATTATTCTGTTCTCTCATTCACAGAAAACATTACAATGATTTACAATCTGTTAAGATTGATTTGGGTGATCTCAGCTGTATGCGTGAGTGAGTCATGAATAATTCACACCTTGAGAGAGAAAAGACACTCACCCACTCACCCATCAAGGGCATTGTAAAGCAATGTTTATCTGCAAAAGCTAGCCCAAACTAAATGCTTGTGTCCCCATGTATATACAAGTACACGCCTCACCAATTAAAGTTATATTTTTAGAAAGCTCTACAATATCAGGGTGTCTGCAGATATCATAATGTCAAATTTAAGACCTTTTACGACCTTTTTAAGACCATTAAGTATTAAATTTAAGACCTATATCGCAATATCAAAAACACGCGAGAGAAAATGTAAAAGCACAAAATTAGGGGTAAAATAAAGTTATTTAAATTGAACAGTACTAAAGTCAGGTTAAATGCACCATTGAACTACAGAAAAAACAAACATCTTAATGCAGATTTATACTTTCACCTGGCACCGCATCGCACAACTCACTAAACGGATTAAGGCTTTAATACTTGACACATTAACAATTGAGATATTTTTTTTAAATGACGGGGTGGTCCAAAAAAATGGAAAGTAAAATCAGACGAATAAAAAAAAATCATTATCATTAAAGATGTTTTTGGGGGGCCTCTTTTTTGTTGTTTTAACAAACTTATCCCTCAGGTTTTTCCTAAGTTTTAAAAAAACTTTTCTCCTTTCCCATGGCTGTTGCAATTTCTAGCCAAAAATTATTGGTCATTCTGGCAAGCAGAAATGTAACTGTGATAGAAAATGGGTAAAAACTTGATTAGGTATTATAGCCTACTGTACTATTCACTCTTCAAATAAATCCCACTATCAATCTCATTTTATCACTAAAATAAAGTGAACTAGTGTCTGCTGTACAGTGTTTTTTTTAAAGTACAGTAAAGTACTTCAATTACTCTGTTGTGGTAATACTATAGTTGCTATGGTAACACAACAAGTGTATTAAAAACAAACTACCCAGTGCTTTAGTTTTTTTTTTTTTATAATATAGGGTATATTTTTCTACAATTCAACACACTTTACAGTAGTAAAACTACACTGTATTTCATTTTATCAGTTCACTATTCTTAATACTACAGTATGCTGAAGCATCTCTGAAGAGCAAAAGCACTAAAGGAGTCCGATGGAGCGAGAGCAGATCATTCGCACGTGAGCAGCCAGCGTTTTGAGAGCTTGCAAGCAGTTTTGTGCATGAACAAAGGAAATCGGCGCGTGAGCAGAGATTCGCTCTCTCGTATTACAGCGCTTATGACTGCGCTTGCGACATTTGTCAGTGAAATAACGAGACACTCTGCCAGCCGAATTTATGTTACGTGCACTCAAAGCAAACTTCCACAAACACAGAGATGATGTCACATTCGCCGCGCTTACTGAGTTTAATATCAGAAAGCTGATTGGCTATTGCAAGTTGACCTTTTTGTAGTTGTAAATACCGCAAATTACAATTGGACTAGTGAAATAAAACAAAACCCTAAAAACCTAGCAACAACAACAAAAAGAATTTAAATGAGCATTAGATGTAGCGTTACATGGACATCGCAAAAATAAGACCCGTGCAAAAATATTTAAGACCTAGAACAGCGAATTTAAGACTTTTTAAAGCCATAAATTTAGACTTTTTAACACTTTTTAAGACCCCGCGGGGACCCTGAATATTATATTTGTAAATATACATTGGCCAGTACTCAAGCCAAATCTGAACCTTATATAACAAAATAACTTATGATAACAGTCCAAAATCTAGTACGCTCAAATGTATATGTTATAGAACAATATTAAATACAGGCGACTGCAGAAACTCCATTAAAAATACTGGGGTAAAATAAACTGTCATTTTTTAAAGAGATGGCGGGGAAAATATAATTAAACACAGTGCTTTTTGTACTGTCTGAGACCCACTTTACATTGTATACCAATCAGGCAGTAAAGATCACTTATTTTTAAAGAAAACAAATCTTAAACGTGCCAATTTTGTAATGGAAATTTCACCAGAAGCCGTTGGGCTGGATGTCTGAAAATTAAAAGTCAATCCCAGGATGTGTGCAAATTGCTAGATGTGTAGCTCTCGTGTGACATGAGCTGATGAATACAGACTTACATCATCAGCGAGCACCTCCAGCTCATACTCATGAATGCCTCCTCCGCCGTACACACAGAAACCCACCAGCACCACCCCTGGCTTGTCCACGGTGAAGCAGATGGCATCGGGGGAGCCATTCCCAGTGTTCCAGCTGCGTCCCTGGCTGGTTTTGGTGAAGCGGTTGGGGGTGGCTTTCACAGAGTGCAGGGAGTTCAGACCATCAACCTGAACAACAACATTCACAAAGTAAAAAAAAAACTGCAGTCAAGAATTGACTTTAAGATCAGATTGATGCATTCTTGTGTCTTATTAAAACAATAAATAGCACACCAAAATATCAATAAAAATAAATAAAACTAAAAACCACTTCTGAAAAACTAATAGATGTGACGACTAATGTGATGGAAAACCTAAAGTGCAGCTGTTTAGGGAGTTACTTTACCTGTAGATGGAGCTTTGTGCACATCGCATGTCTATAACACTAGTCAAGAGCATATTATAAAACATGTTCTGTTCTATTTATCTATCTATCTATCTATCTATCTATCTATCTATCTATCTATCTATCTATCTATCTATCTATCTATCTATCTGTCTGTCTGTCTGTCTGTCTGTCTGTCTGTCTGTCTGTCTGTCTGTCTGTCTGTCTGTCTGTCTGTCTGTCTGTCTGTCATATGTTCCATTTATATAAGCATAAAAATGTATGAAAATTACACATTTTAACAATACATTTTTCTTTAATATGACCAAACTTGTCTGAATTGTTCACGCATCTATATTTTTAGGGTGCATTAGTATGATTTTAAGTGCAGTGTTCAAACTGTTCTTTTATGCTTCTAAAATTTTTATATACGTATGGTGTTCTGCTATATTATGTTTATTCAAACTAAAACTAAAATACACATATAAAAAAAGAAATGCTTTCTTCAAAATATAGTCTTTTGTGAAACTCCTATAGTTTTGGAACCACTTGAGTGCGAGTAAACTTTCATTCTTGGGTGAACTATTGCTTTAAGATGTACTGTAGAGCCACTTTTTTCCCAGCAGGTGGCAGTAGGCCAAATAAAAGTAAATGAAGGAGGATGTTTTTTGTTATTGAACAGGAGCCTCCATGACAACCATCACCTAAATTCATGCGTTTCCTGTGCTATAACAAACAGCAAAAACAGGATGCCGTTTTCTCAACTCTAGCCAATAAACACTTTATTTTTCCAATCTGAAAATGGACAATGTTAAAGAGAAGTAGATCAGCCACAATAACACTCTCTGTAACGTACTCTCATATAGCATGACAGACCAGTTGCCATGGCAACAAGCCAACAGCCTTTTCACCCGAGCTGTCAAAGAGAGAAGGACTGCAGTAGACTGTTGTGGTCCTGTGGAAGACACACTTGCGTTCGTGACTCAGCTTCATACAGCTGATGGAATACAGATGGAATACACACTTTTAATTATTAATTAATTAACAGAATTCCATAAGTTTAAAGATGTCAATATGTAACAATCTAATTGATCAGATTACACAACGCATAAATATTAAGTGCAGGTAAATTTCTCTAGACCATGGTACTCACAGGCTAAACTATGGGTGCACCAGTATGGGATCCAATTGTCAAAAATGACATGTACGTTTATGGCCATAGGTGTCATGACAGAATATAGCGTTTACGCAGAATATACTGTCAATCATAATAACATTTTCATTTTAATCCGTGTATTCAGCAATGTGTAAATAAGCATAGCAAACTCATGAAGTTCATAAGCCCAAACAAGATGCTGCTTATAAGCGTTTAAAGGTGCAGTATGTAAATTCGAAACCCAGTGGTTGAAGTAGTTATTGCACTCCTGGATCAAAACAAACGCAAGCGCAGGTTGCCACATTGAGGACAGGAGCGAGTGATTTAAACTGTGTTCTAAATAAAAGCAACAGCACCCGATAGAAGGAATATTTTTCATATTAAAAGGAGTTTTTGTCATAACCAACACCTCGAATTCATATATTAGAAACGGTTTCTATTTCCCACAGGTGAACAACAGAAAACTGACAATGATCACCTTCAGGTACAGATCATGTGCTTTATTCAGTGTTAAATTCTAATAATGCGAGTTTAAATGCCATTTTACATGACATTTATTACCATACTACTGAAAGCAGCAGGAGATAGTTCACCTCAGATTTTGAAAATGAAATAAATCATTTAAAAACTGAAATTTAGAACTAAACGCATATCAGTGATTCAGCATCTACATTTAATAAAGTTAAAGAGGTTTAATATGTATTAAATAGACTATAAACCTAAAATAAAAAATATTTAAATTTCTGTGTGTGCAAATAGCCAAATAGCTTTTCACTACAAATCTCGTCATGTAGCGTGTTGTTAGGACACAAAGTTACAACATAACCTGCTCACCTAATGTTTACGTTCATTATATTTGTATCATTTTCTAATTAATAACCTCATGTGGACCTGAATCTGCATCTCATTTCGGAGTCTGCTATTGTCCACCGGAGGTTGCATTTCGGTCACGGACGCATACTTTGAGAGCCTTCATGACTGAATGAATGAAATACGTGGTTTTTCACCAAGGCAACCCGGGGTGCTGAAATATAATTGGCTAAACTGGCATTGGGCAGGTTAAAATGACCAAAACAAAGACAGCGTTCTGGCATGAAAAACACATTTTCAAAGCAGAATATTTGACTTCAGCACTGTTTTTCAGTTAAAAAAGTGTGTTTACTTGGCATGTTTTTTAAATATCTGCAAACATACGCTAAGCATACACTTTATGCTTTAGATTAGTCAAATGTACATTCAGCACCTTTAAAACTGTGCATAGTGCTGCACATGACATGACAAGATTACAGTGGCAAGCGATTTGGCACCAAACAAGACGCAATGTGACAAATTTAACTATAGTACTTCAGAAGCACAGATTAGTGCACTGCACTCCCAATCAAATGGTAAGGTTTATAATCAATACATATTAAACTCCTTTAACATTGTTAAAAGTACATAAGCAACTGAGTGACTGATATTGCTGGTTTGCATTGAGAGTTTATTTTCAAACTGTTTGCTAGTTAGTTTTTTTAAGATCCAAGGTAAATTATCTGCTTCCACTTTCAGTATGGCAATAAATGTCACTTATGTGGTATTTAAACTCACATTGGTAGAATTTACCATTTGCATTTGCAGTTTTTCTGTCACTACTACCGTTTCTAAAATAGAGATTTTGTGCAATGTGGTCACAAGACTCCTTTTAACATGAAAAAGATACCTTTTATCACATCTCGTCACATGTAATAATGACACTGTGAGGGTAGCACTGATTGGAATGCTCGCAGTGAGATCAGGTTAGCAATCTGAAGTGAGCTTTTACCTATGATGAAGATGAATTGTTTTGTTTGACTCACTTGAAACTGTAAATATGAGTACAGAATAACTCTGTGTACAATATCCCTCAGTCTCTTGTGTAGCACTACAGTCTCTGCTGACAAACAGCCTCCCCCATGTCCTTATGCACACTCGGTAGCATGACTAATTACTAATTTTAAGATGTAAACCTTGGACTAGGAAAATTAAAGTAAAATAGAAAAATAACATAAAGCTATGTCATAAAATGCTTAGACTTGTTTGATATTTTGGTCAGAAGAATTGTCCAAATCTGCCGACAACTAGCTCTCTGCAACCCTCACATGGTCGGCCACTGAAGCGAAGCAGGGCTGCGCCCAGTCAGTACCTGGATGGGAGACCACATGGGAAAGCTAGGTTGCTGCCGGAAGTGGTGTTAATGAGGCCAGCAGGGGGTGCCCAACCAGCAGTCTGTGTTGGTCCTAATGCCCCAGTATAGTGACAGGGACTCGATACTGATCAGTGAGCATCGTCTTTTGGATGAGACGTTAAACTGAGGTCCTGACTCTCTGTAGTCATTAAAAATCCCAGGATGTTCTTCGAAAAAGAGTAGGGGCTTTACCTGGGCATCTTGGCCAAATTTGCCAACTGGCCTCTGTCGATTATGACCTCCTAACCATCCCCATATCATAAACGACTCCATCACTCTGTCTCCTCTCCACAAAACAGCTGGTGTGTGGTGTGCGTTGTGGCACAAAATGGCTGCTGTCACATTATCCAGGTGGATGCTGCACACTGGTGGTGGATGAGGAGATTCCCCACAATGTGTAAAGAAAGCACTTTGAGTACCCAGGAAAGTGCTATATAAATGTAAGGAATTATTATTATTATTATTATTATTAATTAACAGTATTTTTTTTTTCTTTCTTGCCATCCATAATGGCTACATTTATGGTTAAATATAAGGTTTAGTTATTTTTAAAATTAAAAAAATATTTTTTTAGGTGATTTAGAAACTTCTGACATAAATATAGACTTGTTAGAATAAAATTACATTGGTATCTACAGCAAACACTAGTCATTTACATGTGCATTACCGACTAAAAAAGTATGTTTACTGGATAGTGGGTTTTGACACGACAAAAATGTTGATGGATTTTCTACTAAAAGTAAAAATGTGTGCATATCACTTTAAATGCCCCAATTTAGAGTCTAGATTAACATACAATTTCATTTAACATATGTTTTATATAATATATATATATATATATATATATATATATATATATATATATATATATATATATATATATATATATATATATTAGAAACTAATCAATATCACACATTTACAAATCTTAATTTATTTCATTTATTTCAAATATTTCATAATATGTTCTTACATTATATACTCAACATAATTTAAAGTTTTTGCATTGAATAAAAAATTTCCGATTCTGTGAAGGCCTGTCCATGAAGATCTGATGAAACAGTGGCATATTTTCTCTTCCAGCATCTAAAATCTATTTATGGCCGGTCGGTAGCTGTAATGCAATTAGAGCAGCAGGCGAATGCTCTGCAGACAAAGACGAGGAAGAGAGAGAGTGTGTATGTGTGTGGCGAAGTAGGAGATTTTTCCCTCTAACCTCAGAACCTAGAGCAGATGCGGTGAGCTCGCTGACAATACTGGCCAGCAGACCACAGGTGTTGGACACGAGATGAGGAGAAAAGAGCTCGATCTCTTTCCTAAGACTCTTCCTCACAGGAAGCACTACAATGACCAGCATCTTCTCCAGAACCTCCCGGAATGTTGTCATGCCCATGAGATTCTCTTCCGTCTGATCAAAATACAATAAAGAAAATTAGATGAAGTAAAACCACTGTGGATCATGCACTGTAAAAAATGCTCGGTTCCACGTTTCATGTTGCCCCAACGCAAATCTATTAGGTTAACTTAATTGTTTTCACAAATTTGAGTGGATTGAACATAAAACAAACAAGCTGTCCCATAAAATAGCTTGATAAATGTTGTTTCAACTCATTTTAAATTAGCTTGGCTTGTTTAGACTTGTTGTTGTTGAGAACAATCATCAGTAATTTATTATTCTTCTTAAACTTACCGTTCTTTAAATTTACATGGGTTTTGAAGAAGGAAACATGTTTATTATGTTTGTAAATGTTTTGCATTTCTAAATTTTGTAATATACCTCACTCATCAATGCAACTTAGCAGTTTATTATTGAACATTTTTAATGCAATTTACTTTTTCTTTCTCATATCCAACATGCAATGTGGGCAACATTAAAGTCCACTGATCAGCACTTAATGCTCATTTATGGCCGTTTCCACTGTCAATAGATACCAAAAAGCGAACTGTACCATACCACTTTTTGGGTACCCTTTCGGAAGGGTACCTAGCACAAGAAAAGGGTACCAAAAGGTGGAGCTAGACGCGCAGCTGAACGCTATTGGTTTACAGAGATACTTGACCAGTGCGTACACAAGCAGGAGAATAAAAACAAAGGTAGCAACATTTTTAAATACACAGCCGAGATATTACACCGTAATAATATATATATATATATATATATATATATATATATATATATATATATATATATATATATATAATAACGAGCCATGGTTGACACAAGCCTAAACAAACCTTGCAGTCATCTCGATGAACAGCTACAAAGCCAAGAAGAAGATCAGAATGTACCCTCTGCCCCATAGTTGTTTACAAGACGCATAAGCGTTTCACTTTACCGAAGAGCTCGCATGCGCTTCTATATTTGAAATAACAACCTTCTTAAGCTGATGATAATAACGTGCGTATGATTATTGAAGCGTGTGATTATTCTGACATCCAATCCTTTCAGAAACGGATAAACGCGAGAGTGAAGCACAACCTAAAACATGAACAAACTGCCATGTTTAACTATTATCCTCACCTTTTGGACCATTATGAACTCAGAATGATGGAATTGCTTTCTAACAGAGGTTATAAGTGCTGGTGAAGATTAAAGAAAGGTTTGCACTGACTGTAGGCTATGTTGGTGTTGTTTTTGAACCCAAATAAGGACTAAATGTATGTTGTGTTTAGTTGTTCTGTTGGTAACATATCAGAGACTGTAACGGTCTCTATGTGTTCATATATGTTGCATTTATTTTATATATTTTATATTTCCTCGAGCGACAATGACATCGACTGAAACTTTGTCGTACACCACTCCCACCATTGGTACCCTTTTGGCAGTGAAAACGCAAGCCTGATAAAGTTGACCTGTACCGCACCGTACTGTACCACTCAGTGGAAACGGGCCCTTAAACACTACAGTTTGAACTCTTGGTATGCAGTAAACATGTTAATAAAATGTTGAAAGTGCATCAATTATGTATATTATATATATATATATATATATATATATATATATATATATATATATATATATATATATATATATATATATATATATATATATATACACACACACACACACACACACACACACACACATTTTTTTTGTTTATTATACAATTTGAACAGAAATTAACTTTTTTCTAGTGACTAATTTCTAATAAATTATAGCAATAATAGTAGACATATTAGACTATATATACTAGACTACACATATTAGATATAACAGACTAATTAGTACATAATATTTTACTAATTACAGTATTGTGCAAGACACTAGGTATTCAGGTTATATGGTTATATGGTTAACTAGGCAAGTTTTTAAAGAACTGTGGTTTGATCTGTAGGCAATCGAAAAGAAAAAAAATATTATGGAATAATAATTGAATAATATTTACCTTATTATTAATTGACAATATTTAAACTAAAAAATAAGACTTTCTCTAGAAGAAGAAACAGTATAGAAATACTATGCAAAATGTCCTTGGTCTGTTAAACATCACTTGGGAAATATTTGAAAAAGAATACAAATTTCACAGGAGGGCTAATAATTTTGACTTCAACTCTACATCTTAGTGCATAAAATTATATAAAGACTTTTCTTTTTTTTATTTAACCCGCATAACAACAAAGCCCAATGGGTGAGGTTATCATTTCTGTAACAATTACAGTTTACTTCATTGAGGATGTCTTTATTTTCTTTATATATCTGCCACTTCCCCAGTCCTTTCAGAAAACACTTTTTTCAACATCATATTTATAATACATGTAAGCTCTACCATTACCCGGAGTTCCTCAACAATCTCAAACCACTGTTTCCAGTTTGAAGCATCTTTAACCAATTCCTAGTAGATAGTAGTTGTTTTGCATGCCACAAGGAGAATCTTACATAAATCCAGGTCATGTTTGAATACAATGTCGAACACAAGCATAAAAATAAAGAGGTTCTTGAAATAATTAGCCAAAGTACTTCGGAAATTACGCATTATTATGTATGTTTAAAAGTACTCACGTGGCTGAGTTTCTCCATGTGTGCCACCAGCAGGGGGAAGCGGTGAGCAAGGGCAGAGTCATTCTCTGTGCTGACCTGCTTGACGAGAGAGCGGAGTAACACCTCCCCATCATACGCAATGGGCAAGATGGAGGTCAGCTTGACCGATGTGTTGCACAGCGCTGACATCACCGCAGCCAGCAGACGACTGCTCGATGTGCGGAAGTTTGCCTCTTGAATGTCCTGGAGGTCGACATGAAGGTCATGGTTATTACCAGGAGAGCATTTGCTTCAAGTAAAGTGTCTGATGGTAATAAAGTAATAACAGAATTTTAAATACATATTGAGAATGAGGATCACTATTAAACAGTGTTTAATGGCAGATATTTTGGAGGCCAAATTAATCAGCCATAAATCTGTCAAGTGGCTGTGTGAGCTGGGAACTTAAAGACAGGTCACATTTTTACTACTACTACTTTCCAAAACGTTCAGGTAAATATTAAAGCATATCAAAAAAATATCAGTTTATGTGGTTTAAATTTATTTTATTTCTGTAAAATATTTTTCAGAAAGTATCTTGCTGTCCGTGTAAAAAATTTTTGAAATGTTGGATTGTATGAGAACAAATTAGCCTTTAGCACTCACAGTATCTTACCTCTACAGTTAGAGATTATTTCTAAAACACGACACTCAAAATGTATTTTGAATTACGATGAAAGGGAGTAAAAGAGAAGCAAAGGTGAAAGTTTTTGCAACTGAATTTACTTTTTACCCCACACAGAAAACATCACGTGAAGGGACGTACAGCGCAATTTTATTTAACACTGACCCAATATTATCATCTCAAATATATTCAAGTCAACAGATATTTGTAAATCAAATTTCTTTTCCAAAACATTTTGGGTTTATATGTTTTTCCAAAACCATTCCAAGCCTGGAAAAGTATGAACCCTGTAAAGAGGTTTGATAGCATTTCATTTAAAGGTGTACTATACAGTGCTACAGTGTACTATACTGTACTACAGTGTTTCCCATGGGTTTGAAATATACTTGCGGTGGTAGCCGGAGTAAAACACACCATTTACCCACATCACATAAATAGTTAACTATATGCGGCAAACAAAATATAATAAAATTTTTAACAATAATTTTATTTATTATTACTTTCAGGTTCAAAGCAAACTTAAATGCCAAAGCATATAATATGTAATATAGAAAATAAATTATTAAAACATACAGCAAATGAGAAATAAATGACAGAAAAAAAAAATTACAGACAATATCTGTCTAAATAATAATTCCAAGATTAAAAGGTGTAGATTATTTAATTAAGTCGAATGCGTTGATTAACCACTAGGTGTACATATATTGTGCAAGCAGTTTAGACCAGTCATTTCATCCTCTCCAAGTATACAGTAAAGTTTTTCTGAGTCGTTTAGATTACAGAATGAATTATTGAATGTTTCTCTTGCTCTTGTGCGTGTGCTGTCAGCTGTAAGGCAAAGCGAAAGTAGGCTTAAGTAAAAAGTTAATGCAAAAACAAAATATTGTTAAAAAGCAAAAGCCGAATCCTTGACATTTTAGGAATTTAGAAATCCGGCCGGACAAATTTTTAAAGTGTCAAAAAGGCACCTCTCTGTGGGTCTGCATACTGTCTGTGGAAGTGCTGATAGGTCTCGAAAGAGGTTTTTCCACCACTTTGATCACGGATGTTTGGTTATATTAGGCGCATACAATATAGTGTAAAAGGATGATTATAATAATAAAAAACGACACTAAATATGCTTATATAATATAATGGGCAGTCGTTAATATACCCGGCCAGCATGCCCAAGTAAAATCTCTGTGTGGGAACAACTGTATAGTGATAGCAATTCAGCATAATTACATGCAAAGAACCTAAACCTTATTTGCAATCGATTAATATTACTCAGTAGTTAAATAAAAGGTTACACTGTAACAAAGACATCTTAAAATAAAGCATAACTAGATGTTCAGCTGAAAAAGTATCTCTGTTAAAAAGGCTTTGTAGGGGGATTTCACATTTAAACATGTATTATTATTATATTTATTTGCAAAGAATTAACAGAATGCTGTTGGGAATGGGAAGATTATATCCCTCATGCTACCCTCAGCCAAACAAAACAGAAATGTAATTTTTAATTTAAAAAAATAAATAAATAATATATTTTTTATATTTTATATATATATATATATATATATATATATATATATATATATATATATATATATATATATATATATATATATATATATATATATATATATATATATATAGTTGAAGTCAGAATTATTAGCCCCTTAAAAAACTTTTTTCTTCTATTTAAAATATTTTTTCTTCTGGAGAAAGTCTTATTTGTTTTATTTTGGCTAGAATTAAAGCAGTTTTTAATTTTTAAACACAATTTTAGGGACAAAATTATTAGCCCCTTTAAGCTATGTTTTTTCTCAATAATCTACCGAACAAACCACTGTTATACAATACCTTGCCTAATTACCCTAACCTGCCTAGGTAACCTAATTAACCTAGTTAAGCCTTTAAATGTCACTTTAAGCTGTATAGAAGTGTCTTGAAAAATATCTAGTAAAATATTATTTACAGTCATCATGGCAAAGACAAAATAAATCAGTTATTAGAGATGAGTTATTAAAACTATTATGTTTAGAAATGTGTTGAAAAAATTTGCTCTCCGTTAAACAGAAATTGGGGAAAAAATAAACAAGCGGTCTAAAAAATCAGGGGGGCTAATAATTCTTTAATAATTATTTATTTATTTATTTATTTATTTTTTCATTAGTAGGCATATCTATGTTTAGGCCAGTTTCACAGACAGGGCTTAAGCTTCTTCATAAAACTGAATTTAAAAAGCTTATTAGTGTTGTGCATCTTTAAACAAATGAAACTAATGTATTTTAAAATATGTGACAGCAAGATATTTCCAAGACAGCTCAAACACGCATTTTAGTCTAAGCCTCATTCAAACTCCGAGCGATTCGTATCGACAAAGTGACTGTTTATTTTAATGGAGAGCGAGCTACATCTGACAACCTCCATCTACGCGAGCAACAGTGGCCGTTGGCGACCAGGTGGGTGTGTCGAGTGTCCCACCTGGAGCGACAAAGTAGAGAATCCTTCTACTTTATGCAAATGAAGAGCAACTTTCTTAAGCCAATAGGAGCACCACGTAATCCTCTCTCAGCTAGCACAGATGCAGGTTGTAATTTTCCATGCTGTAGACCTCCACAGACCTGTTTGCAGCAGGTCGCCACCCAGAGCGACAGACAGCTACAAAGTCGCTGCTAGTGTGAATGAGGCATTAAAGTGATAGTCACACAAAAGGTTTACTCACAATTTATTCTTACGAGCTTTTTTTGTCTGTATAACACAAAACAATGATATTTTGAAGAATGCTGAAATTCACTCATTGTCATCCATAGTAAGAAACTAAATACTTTGAAAAAAATCTTTCAAAATATCTTCTGTGTTCAACAAAAGAAGGAAACTCAAAGAGGTTTGGAATAAGTGAAGAAAGAATAAATTATGACAGAAAACCATTTTGTTTTTGTTTGTTTTTTTTACTTAACACAATTGTTTAGTCTGAGTTTATTTAATTTTGACAGGTTAGACACTTTAAGTTTGGCTTATCATAAAATTCATAACCTTTACTTTCCAACCTGTTTCTTTAATTAAATGTGAAATATTTCAAATGATGTTGAAAACCAAACAGATGATATAAATGAGAACAAACTCACAAACTATAAAATACTTCCTTCTGTGTTTATACAGATTTGTACATATACATTTATATCAACATTAGGTGAATAACTAATATATAACAATTGAAATTTGTGGACAAACAAACTAAAAGTATCTGTCATGATGTAGAATACCTGGTCCAGGCAGTTGAGTAGGTCGCAGAGACAGGCCCACTGCAGAGCCGGAGTCGGGTAGAAGGAGTGAAAGCAGGCTGTGAAAGTGTTATGACACTCTTGCAGCACAGCCTCCAGCAGCGTGAGCGGTTGACTCAAATATCCCTGTGGGTCGTTGTCCAGCTTGGTCAAGCAGTTGTCCATTCCTTCTGACAGGATCTTCTTCAGTAGGCTACGTGTTTTTCCCACACACTCCGCCAGCTTGCTGGACTCCTCCACAATCGCTTTGGTGCTGGCTGAATAGGAGACACAAAGAGGAAGTATAATATATGCTGTCATTCAGCGGTCTGAAACATCAAGACGAGTACTGAAAGATTAACTAAATTTAATGCAATAATATTGTGTTATTATAAAATAACACATTATTATTAAATACAACTTCTTTATTGTATTTATACAATAAATACAATACAATAAATACAATAGAGAAATCATTGATCAAATGAAAAGATGCTGATATAAAGTAGCAAATTGATGACATATGCTAATCCCATTTAAAATCAGCAAACTTAGCACAGACTCAAGCCCAATTTACATCCAATGCAATTTTTCTGGTGAGAGGTGCTTTTTAAAGAAGTGGTTCACTACGATATCATATTTTAAACTTTAGTTTATGTGTAATGTAGCTGTGTAACCGTAAACAACATCTCTGAATGTAAGATGCTCAAAGTTCAATGCAAAGGGAGACATAGGCTGTTACAGAGTTAGCTTAGCAAAGCCTACAGTAAACAAAGTTTGGGGACTACAAAAAAAAAAAAAAAAAACATCCGGGCTAGTGATATCACAACCGCTTCAGGTTAAGTGCATTCACCAGGCAGCGAAGGGGCGTTTCCAGAGGCACTGTAATGTTATAGCCGAGAAAGCTAAAATGCTGTCCAAATGCTGCTATTTCCACAGAGCCTGTGCTGTTTCTGTATTTGAGGTTTCAAAGGACATAACAAACAAAGAGAAGTGCTTGCAGTTTAATTTTAATTATGTTCCAGAGAATTGTAAAAAATATATAGCTAGCATTTGACAAAGGAGAGCTTCCAAAATCTCTCCCTGTTCAGTGCTGGATTCAGCTAAAAAGTCCTCCAACCATAATCAACGAAGCTGTGGACTGTTGTAGCGAGGACGTAAACAAGGATTTAAACAACCGGAAATGCTGTTTGGCAGTGCTAGCAATTCAGCTACAAATTCATATTTATCCGTTAAACCGCTGTAAACACCCACAATCTTCATCAAGCAGCAGTGTCTTTCTATGCAGCTGCGTTGCCTGAGTTCTAAATCTCAAATAACGAACTCGCAAAAGATATGCGAATGTTTCATAATACTTACACATGCTTATTCCCAATATATGTGAAAGACTTTAGTCAGATATTATTTTAGAGAGCAGGCAGTGTGCCTGGTGTGCTCTTTATTTTTCTGTCTGATTCAAGCAGCTAATCAGGCAGCTTAGCTGCTCTAACTGGACTGTTTACACAGCTTAAAAGCTTGTGTTTGTAAGGGCGTGACGTGGAGCCAATTTGCAAATCACAGCACATTATTTTAGCTGACCAATCAGAGCCTCTTGTGGGTGGGCCTTTCAGAGAAACTAGGAAATATGACAGTCCTTTTTATGTTAGCGGAGTAGCTGTATATAATCAAAGTAAAATATTTGAAAAAAAAGTGATTTTCTACAAGTGAAGCATGACCCCACATTGCTCAGCATCTAATGAAAACAAACAAGCCTTAAAAATACAATGTGGACCACTCCTTTAAAAATAGTTTTCTATTGGCAGCAGGCATTTTCCATTGAGTTTTAACTGAGTGCTGCACCTCCGTTTTCTTGATGGAGCACTAGACAATGCTTTTTTTTTTTTTTTTTTTTGCTGTGATTGGCCAAACAACAAAAAAACAACAACAAAATTAATGATAAAACTAAAACTACATTTATTTAATTATCTAATTATGACTTATTCCATGACTACATTTACATGAGCATCAGTAATCTAATTATTTGCCTTAATAAGACAGTAATATCAATAAGGTGTTTACATAAGCTGCTTTTTGAATGTTTCCTTCATGATTCTTTTTACATGTTATAGCACATTCGATTAATGTCATTGCGTCACCGCGCTATCCACATTTCCTACAGAGTTTCATGTAATTTTGGGTGTTTCATTTTTAATTTTTTGACTTTAACTGCAGTTTGGCACTTTCACTCAAGATCATTTCGTGCATGCCCCCCGTGGAAAACGAGATATTGCATGAGAGTATGAACAGTTGGAAGAGTGTAGTTTTAATGGAATTTGATACCACACACCGTATGGTGAAAAAAACCTCCGCAGTGTCTGTGGTCCTTTACTGACTGGGTAGGTGCAGAGAATAGTGTCAAACAGCTGTGTGTGTACAGACTATGTACTAATGACCAAAATCAGGATACTCCATGTCTAATTTCGATTTCTGTTTAGTTTGATTATGACCTTTATCTCATTAAATTAATTAAAAATCGCGGTTTATATGGTAGACTCTTAATCATAGAATTGTCTTAATAGTATTAAAATCCTAATGTCCCAAGAGCTAATTTCAACGTCTAAAGATGGAGTCGACATGGCCCTGGCCTACGACCATTGCCCAATCCACATTGCACAGTCCCCTTATGACTCCACCGTCAGGAGGTGGTCTACAGGAGGATGGTCTCACATTGCTCCTTCTGGCTTTGATTGTCCAGCTTCTGTAGGGGATGTCCCGGCCAGCTGGCAGTTGCATGCAAGCCCTAAGCCTGGTTCAAGGATGGTCCAACCGTTGGACCATACTTGGTGACATTGTGTTCCTTGATTTTATTCAACTAATTTTTGAGGTGCACTTAGGCCTGGATTATACTTCTGCGTCGAATGATCATCTCGGTCAATTTTTGCGATTGTTTTAGAACTTCCGATTCAGTTGCCTACTGTATGTGAGAAATGACTGGGAATAATAAACGGCAGAAATCGGACAAACTATTTGCTCTATAAACAAGTGTGTTAATGACTGTACATAAAAAGTAGAATAATGTAATAAAAAATATCAGTTTGCAACATTTAACATCTAAAAATCAATGGAAGTGAATGGGAAGGAAAGTCTAGAGCCAAAAAGATTCAAATGGCAGTGCTCGCTTGTACGTGAAGATTGAGGTCAATTTAATAATTTAGTGCTTGTCTGTTGAATCACACAGAAGTTAAAAAATATTTAGCATGAATTGCAATATTAGTCAAAAATGTAATAATTAGATTAAATTCTAAAACCGTTAATCAGATGGCTAAACACCAGTCAAAAGTTGTTTTCCTATCCATCACATGTGTTTAAAGGACTAGTGTGACTTGAGAGCTTGAAATCAATATAGATTACATCGGAAACTCAAGGGAGCTCCACTTGTGACTTTGACAGTCTGACTCAGCATGAAGTGGCAGTCCAGATTCAGTGTATAACAATAACACCAGTTGACAAGGTTTAGTCGTACAGTGTCAAGAAAGTGAAAGCAGTACTCAAAATCAATGTGATGTTGGTCAACATCCCATTAGATGATTTTCTGCCAATTTCCAGTAATTAGCATTAAACCCAATGTATACTTCAGTTTATGAGGAGGACATTAGCATATCAGTAAGACCAGTAAGAATATGCAGATATTTTTTGCTATTTCTGCACAGAATATTGTAACAATCTGCAGATTTATGCCGAATGATTTTGGGTGTATCGTAACTAAAAACTTTGTATGTTAAATAACAAATAATACATTTTTTACTTTTATTTAATGTTTACAATGCAAATCCTATTAGATCCATTTATTTGGTAAACAAAGCAAGTCTCTCATATAACACATCTACCATAAATCTACTAAAAGTTAGAAATTATTACTTTACAAACAGTAATTTAAATAAATCATATAAACATATATTCATATTAGCCAGTAATAATACTAAAATTAATTTAAAAACTGAATAATAATACATTTTCACACAACTAAATAAATAGACTCAATGGTAGGGTGAAAATCTGCAGATTTCTGCACATGCAGATTCTGTGTGGGCCTACATATTAGTAATCATTTACAACAGTTTTGCCTGCTAGAGAGAGTTTAAAGAGTCAGAAGCAGACCACCGACTTGCTTTTAGCTTTTGGGACCCTTTTAAGGGTGATGTGCAGGTAGTTAGCTTACATGTGTGTTGAAGATGAAAATATTATATATTATATTATTAAAATATTATATTTTTCTTATATATATATATATATATATATATATATATATATATATATATATTATTGACGATAACGTGCTGCGTTGACACAAGACTCTTGTTGGGCGAAAAAAAATATATCACTGTTAATCTATTCTTAAAGTTGGGTTGAGACTTGGATCTATTCTACACAAGCTATGATGACTTTTACCTTGATATTTTAGTGCGGATGTATATCTAGGTGAATTGCACTGTAGGGGGCGTGAACGAGTTTTCGAACATGTGTGTATTCCTATTGTGAAATTACCACATCAAACGTGACGTGCTTACATGGATTCAGTTCCCTAGAGTGAATCTGATTAATGTTAGCTCCACATCTAACTATCAGGCACCTGTTGAGTTTATGCATTTGAGTAAAACAAATACAAATAAAATATAACGGGTGCTTTGAAAGTAAACCGGTGAGCAGTCTGACAAAAAAAGTGTGCTTCTGAATCAAATCAGCAGGATGCCCTGTTCATACCCGTCAACTCTCCCGTTTTTCCCGAGATTCTCCTGTATTTCAAAGTTCTATTCCACTATCATCCTGTAAAGGTATTTTCTCGTATTTCTCCCATATATCTCCCATATTTTCAGTCTTTCTCTGAAGGGTGGCAAATAATCATTAAAGAATCAAACCACCAGGGGCCGCCCATTGCTCTTAAATATGAGTCCGTTTTGAGCTTTCGCTTTGTTTAGGCATAAAAACACTTTGAAATAAATATAAAAATGGTGGGATTCCCTTTCCTTTTCATTACAGGTGCCGTTGCCACTCTTATGCAATCCTAAAAACAGTCATATAGTGGTGCATGACTGTCAGACGTGCTCCATAGGGATAAATAGAAGCTGTTTCTCAAACAGATTCTGTACATGTGATTTGAAGTGGAGTGAAAGTCTGGGTTTTGGATGCATGTTTAAACAGACATATACACATGATTATTAACAACATCTAAAGATGTCGATCTTGGTGGGTTTTTTCCAAACACAACTAATTTTGTCCTAAATGAGCATAATAAGTTATGTAAGCATTTGAAAGTGACACCCCTGTTATTTAATGTAATCAAACGAAAAAAAATCTAAATAAATTATTTATTTGTTGCTCTTTAATCAGAATGTGTAAGTTATACAGTGAAGAAACCGCTAATGAGATTTGATAACTTGATCCTATTTCTTTGATTTGAATAATTTATTTTCAAACAAAAACATCATACATAAAATATTAACAAAAATATATTTTAACATGGTCAAAAATGGAGTGGGATGAAGCACAAGCTTATTATTTTCCCACTTTAAAATAGCTATTAATTTTAATACATTTTTGCTAATGTAGTTGCTGTTTATTTTCTTCTTTTGTAAATAATAATAATAATATTGCCCCACATGACAAACTGGCATATTAGACGCAAATAAGGAGTTAGGACTGGTGAGAGTGTATGGAATTTAATAACACATGGCAAATGGAAAAAAAATTTCTTCATTTCGTGATGTGTGTGTGTGTGTGTGGTCCTTTACTGATAGCCGCGTGTGTGGATCTTGTCGGAAAATGTGGCGAAAAGTCCTACTTCAATAATGTCACTAATATATGCATACTCCACGTCTTAATTCCATTTCTGTTATGTTCAGTTATGACTTTAGTCGGATTAAGGTAATCAACAATTGCTGTTTCGAGCTCATGTAGGCCTACAGTTCAAAATTTATGCTTAACTGACTAAACAGTTAGTAAATACAAGTACATCTTTTTGAACATCGTTTATTTTCTTCCCCAATTATCACAGTAGAACAGTTTCTAAAGCAGTTCGTCATGCATTTTTGAAAACAGGAGATGAGCCCCTGGTCTAATGCGCCAACTGGCTTGAGAAACCTGTTCTCAAAGACTTACTTTTAGTCATTACTTGGGTAGCACACATATGCTAAATGCTTCAGCAGAATTCAAATGAGCCATTTTTATCAAGATTAATCTCGATAAATTTTAAGATTAAAGTGAGATTAATCTAGATTTTAAAAAATGAATGTATGCCCATATATATATATGAAGTGTTGCCCAGGAGGTACTTGTCAATGTGGGTGTCCACTATTTATATCTTTAGAAAGACAGCTCAAAAAATAATATTTAAAATCGCATTGGTGACAAAAGAGTGATGTATCAAAAAGGATATTTTAGGCAAACAATAGGAAAAGTTAAAATAAGAAAAAGCTAAATATTCAATAAATATTTAAATGTGGTACTAAATTTGCCTAAGCAGCACATGTGATTCTTGAGAAAACGTTTAGCATCAAGCGCCAACACAACACATGAACAGAATGAATGAAGTAAGACAAATGAGTGCAAGAATATTGTTTCCAATCAACTACTGTAAGAGGACAGTCTTAATCATCTTTGAAACATAACAGAAGCGATATTATACCAGAAATGGGGAAGATGTCACAGATGTAGACTCGCAACAGTCGCAGGCAGCAGGTGCCCACAAACCGCAGGCGCTCGAGGTCAAGAAGGGTAGCTGTGAACTGGAAACCCTTCAATCCCCTCAACTCCTCCACTCCCAACACTAGCGTGGTCCAGCTCCAGTGCAGGATACTCAGCAGAGACTCGAAACAGTCCTGAGAAAACAACAACAGCTATGAAAAAACATAGCACTGGGGCATGAACCAAAGATCTGACCTATTATTAGCTCTGCCAGTTCGTTTGAGTACACAAAGCGGAAAGGCGGCCTGGAAAAAGCAGCAGTAGTCAAGGGATTTCCTTAAAGAATAACAAGCAATGAAATAACTATAAAGTATAAACCCTTCAGAGTTGGCTGATGTACATCTGTTCCTTGCCAATTTTCCTACTGAGGGATATAATATCTAAATACAAACTAGTGTTACTAATCGCTTTGTACTTTTCAGGTCAAGCTAACAGTATGATCAAAATAATGTGTGAACAACAGCAACAAAAAGACTGGTGAAAAGGAGAGGCTAATTTCTAATCATCTAGCTTAAAAATTATATGTTATTTAGGATGGCATTGTGATGTGATATTCAAATGTCCAATAAATCTAGATTTTATAGTAAAATCAATAACTAAAAACTACTATTTTCTCCCTGAAATATCTCCAACAACCATAACCCTAAGTCCAATAAATATCCTCACAAGTATCACGTTTCATTGGGCTCATTTTATTGTAGAAATGTATATGTAAAAAAAAAAAAAAAACAGGAGGAACATGAAGGTCTATGGCAATGGTCTCAAACTGGAGGGCCACGGTTCTGCAGATTTGATCTCCAACTTACATCTGCTTAATAGTTTCTAGTAGTCTTGAACACTTGATTAGTTGATCCAGCTGTGTTTGATTAGGGTTGGAGCAAAACTTTGCAGAGCTGTGGCTCTTCAGGATTCGAGATTGAGACCCATGGTCTATGGGGTCCTCTCAATGATTGAAGTCAACTGACATAAGTATCAGGTTTCCTTAGGCTTATTTCATTTAATGTAGAAATGTCTATGTCTAAAACTGTCTCATTTTTTGTAAAAAATAAATAAATAAAATAATAATAATAAAATAAAACAAAGGAACATGAAAGTCTATGGCAGTGGTCTCAAACTTAAATCCTGGCAGGGCCACAGCGCTGCAGATTTTAGCTTCAACCACCTCCAACTTACACCTGCTTAACAGTTTCTAGTAGTTTAGTTTATTATTAGCTGTGTTTGATTAGGGTTGGAGCAAAACTGTGCAGAGTTGTGGCCCTCCAGGAATCCAGTTTCAGACTCATGGTCTATGGGCTCTTTTCAGTGAGTATGTTTACATTGGCACCAATAATAAGATTTTAATACGATTAAAACAATACTTAGATTAAGAGTCTAAACGTCATCATGAAAGAATCATTAAAAAAGTCATGTAAACACCTTAATAATATTATTGTCTTATTCAGATTAAGGCAAATAATTTGATTACTGATGTCCATGTGAGTGTAGTCATTGAAAGAAGTCAACCGATTGATCAGCCTGATGATTAATGAAGACAAATTTTGCCATTTTTAATGAATCGGCAGAACCTGGTAATAAGTCCTTAACTGTTACATTTGATTAGATTAAGGAAGTAACAAAGAGAAACCAAGCAAGCAAATTGGCCAAATAAAATGTATATCATATATCTGTCACTGACTGCACCTAATTTCTAAAAATTGAACAAATTATGATATTTTGTTTTGCCAAAAAGAAAAAAGGATTTAAATGACTATGATACACTGAATCTAATCTACCATTTAAAGGCATTATTTCACCAAAGCTGACTTTGCTAGGATTTTCTCATTTATTGAAGTTTTACATTTAAAATTGTCCTCACAAAAAAACTAATAATAAAAAGCATATAAACCTCCTTATATGTTTGTTTAAAAAAAAGAAACAAATTATTTCAGCCTTTTAACCACACTATATGTTGTTGTTTTTTAAATAAAATCTTTCCCACACAAAAAATGTAATAAAAATTTTAGTAATGATATATATTGAGAAATATATAAAATATGACATAATATTGATAAAAAGTGGAAGACAAAAGGTCTTAAGAAGGTCCCTATAATTTTTTCGTTTTCATAGAAAAATTGGTCTCTCCAGTGGCGTAGCTGTCAAGAATCATTTTCTATACGCCCTGTGCTGTTTTATCTCTAAAATTATTAGTCTATAAGCAATTAGCATTTCAGTAGACACATACCACAGACACGGTCCTGGCAAAAGTGCGCTTGAGGATGTGTACAGGTTCACTGGTCTGCTGCTTTCCTTTGGAAGCGTTTCCATCATTAGAAGGCAACCTAGAAAAAAAAACAACAAAGCAAAATAGGCATGAGAATTAAAACAAATACAACTGATACAGAAAAGTAACACACACACACCAAATCTCTTGTACCTGTACAACAGCTGAGGTATTTGTCCAGCATTCACATCAGTACCATTGTTTGATTTTTTTGAGCTCTTGAACTGAAAGACCACACTGTAGAAGACAGTTTATGATGATAAGTTAGGCATTCTACAACTATCAGGCAATATTCATCGCATTACATCATAGTAATAAATGTGTTTTGTACCCATCATCCGTGGTGATTGTGGCCTGGCCGTGGGAACCGCAGTCACTGCTCGGTCCAGACACACGTGCCCACGCCACGTACCACCAGCCCAACTGAAGCAGCACAGGCTCATCGAACATCATGGCGTACTTCTCCCTGAAAACAAAAGACAAAACATAATTACACCTCTACTTTTATCAGCCATTGTCCTTGATTACTTTATATCAGTGTTTTTTCTTTTTAATGATGATGATTTATGAAGCCAGTCCTCCAAACATTCACACATTTCCATGCTGAGTAACATCCTAACACAACACACAAAAAAGTGTCACATATTTGTCATTTTAAACAATATATAGTTGAAACCAGAAGTTTATATACACTCTAAAAAAAGAAGCAACCATTTTTTAAAAAATGCCTGTTGTTAAATCATACTAAGCATTTACTATTTTAGGTCTAATAGGATTACCTAAATAATTTATATTTGCTAAATGCCAGAATGAGAGAACTTTTTTGGAGAATTTCTTATTAATTTCTAGACAGTCAAAATTTTAAATAATAAAAAAAGTAATTTCCTTGGTATTTTTTTTATCTTTGCTTTTAAACTGTATAACTTTGGTCAAATGTTTTAGGTATCCTTCCACAAGCTTCTCACAACAGTTTGGAAGGAATTTTTGCCCATTTCTCCTGACAGAATTGGTGTAACTGAGTCAGATTTGTTGGCTGTCTTGCTCGCACAAGCTTTTTCAACTCTGCCCACAAATTTTATATAGGATTGACATCAGGGCTTTGTGATGGCCACTCCGAAACATTTACTCTGTTGTCCTTAAAGCACATAGCTAATTTGTTAATATGCTTAGGGTCATGGTCTGTTTGGAAGACCCATTTGTGGACAAGTGATTCTGGTTTGTGGACAAGTGATTCTGGTTTGTTGATTTTCTCATGTTGTCACACAAGGAAGCAGTGTGTTTGAGGTTTTCCTTAAATACTATTCTACAGTTGTCCCTCCAATGAACTCAAATGTTGCCAATTAGCCAATAAGAAACTTCCAAAACCTTGACACAATCATCTGAGCTTTTTTAGAGACATACTAATCTTATTGTATGTAAACTTGACTTTCAAGAAAAGTTATAACAATTTCTCAAAACATTTCTCTCATTATTCCGTTTAGTCACATTAACATCTGACTTTTTAAAATGTTCATGTGCCTTTTTATACAGTGTATGTAAACTTCTGGTTTCAACTGTATCTATCATTTTAAACCTATTCATGTGCATGTTTTGCACTGCCTTTGTTAAACTTTTTTTTGTATTATTTATATATGTTTTAATGCCATATCAGCAGCATTGGCTATATTCAGAGCAACACGTAAGAACACTTACTGCTGTAAGTATTCAATATATAATTAGGGGCCAAGCACCGTAGGTGCGTAGGCACCTATTGCTTTCGTTAGTGTTCTTATTAGGGGCCAAGCACCGTAGGTGCGTAGGCACCTATTGCTTTCGTTAGTGTTCTTATTATTATTATTATTATTATTCTTCTTCTTCTTCTTCCGTTTCTTCCGCCGGATTTGAATGGCAGCCCATATAGGCGTATGCGGGAAAGTTGTATAATTTGGCACAATGATAGAGGCCAGTATTAACATTAATCAGGCCAATTATGAAGTCTCAAAATCAAACTCTCTAGCGCCACCACTTGTCCAAACTTTCACATATGTTTATCATCATAACTTTTGAACCGAATGGGCTACAATCAAAATTCTTTTTACCTCTGATTCCTTGGCTCAGTCCGATTCAAACCCACTCTATGACGTCATTTTCCGTCATGAATTTTTTCGCGCTATTTTAAATTTTTCGAAAAACCTATTTGATCGAACTCGTCCTAGGCCGTGTCTCCGATTTTCACCAAAATTGAATCACATGATCTACAGACCATGCCAACCTAAAGTTATGGAATTCAAGTTGATTTGACCAACCGTTTTTGTTTAACTTGCGAACTAAAATAACGAAGAACTTGCGAAAATGGACTTGAGGCGATATCTCTGTAACGCATTCACCGATTCACACCAAACTTGGTGAGTGTTATGACAACTAGGGTCTAAGGTTAATTGCGGAGTTTCGGCGCACTGCCCCCTAGTGGTCCGGAGATACTAAAAACTTGCTTTTTGGCTTATAACGTCTCAACCTTTCGTCCGAAACTCATGAAACTGGTCTCATTACATCCGGCAGAGCATGCCGAGTCGAATGTTGTCTGATTTTCACAGGTCAGGCATTTTGGGCGTCGCCCATTTCGATTTTTGGCCAAAAATGCTATATTTTACCAACACATTCACATATCATTAAAAAACATGGTATGCATCTTCAACCCCATGCCCTGAAAGTACTCAAAAACGTCTGGAGCAGCGCCACCTTATGGCCAATAGTGCTTGGCCCCTTAATTGCTGCTTGCAGCTATATTTATTATTATTATTATTATTATTATTCTTCTTCTTCTTCTTCCGTTTCTTCCGCCGGATTTGAATGGCAGCCCATATAGGCGTATGCGGGAAAGTTGTATAATTTGGCACAATGATAGAGGCCAGTATTAACATTAATCAGGCCAATTATGAAGTCTCAAAATCAAACTCTCTAGTGCCACCACTTGTCCAAACTTTCACGTATGTTTATCATCATAACTTTTGAACCGTATGGGCTACAATCAAAATTCTTTTTTCCTCTGATTCCTTGGCTCAGTCCGATTCAAACCCACCCTATGACGTCATTTTCCGTCATGAATTTTTTCGCGCTATTTTACATTTTTCGAAAAACCTATTTGATCGAACTCGTCCTAGGCCGTGTCTCCGATTTTCACCAAAATTGAATCACATGATCTACAGACCATGCCAACCAAAAGTTATGGAATTCAAGTTGATTAGACCAACCGTTTTTGTTTAACTTACGAACTAATTTAACGTAGAACTTGCGAAAATGGACTTGAGGCGATATCTGTGTAACGCATTCACCAATTCACACCAAACTTGGTGTGTGTTATGACAACTAGGGTCTAAGGTTAATTGCGGAGTTTCGGCGCACTGCCCTCTAGTGGTCCGGAGATACTAAAAACTTGCTTTTTGGCTTATAACGTCTCAACCTTTCGTCCGAAACTCATGAAACTGGTCTCATTACATCCGGCAGAGCATGCCGAGTCGAATGATGTCTGATTTTCACAGGTCAGCCATTTTGGGCGTCGCCCATTTCGATTTTTGGCCAAAAATGCTATATTTTACCAACACATTCACATATCATTACAAAACATGGTATGCATCTTCAACCCCATGCCCTGAAAGTACTCAAAAACGTCTGGAGCAGCGCCACCTTATGGCCAATAGTGCTTGGCCCCTTAATTGCTGCTTGCAGCTATATTTAGGGGCCAAGCACCGTAGGTGCGTAGGCACCTATTGCTTTCGTTAGTGTTCTTATTATTATTATTATTATTATTATTAGGGGCCAAGCACCGTAGGTGCGTAGGCACCTATTGCTTTCGTTAGTGTTCTTATTATTATTATTATTATTATTATTATTCTTCTTCTTCTTCTTCTTCTTCCGTTTCTTCCGCCGGATTTGAATGGCAGCCCATATAGGCGTATGCGGGAAAGTTGTATAATTTGGCACAATGATAGAGGCCAGTATTAACATTAATCAGGCCAAATATGAAGTCTCAAAGTCAAACTCTCTAGCGCCACCACTTGTCCAAACTTTCACGTATGTTTATCATGATAACTTTTGAACCGAATGGGCTACAATCAAAATTCTTTTTTCCTCTGATTCCTTGGCTCAGTCCGATTCAAACCCACCCTATGACGTCATTTTCCGTCATGAATTTTTTCGCGCTATTGTAAATTTTTCGAAAAACCTATTTGATCGAACTCGTCCTAGGCCGTGTCTCCGATTTTCACCAAAATTGAATCACATGATCTACAGACCATGCCAACCAAAAGTTATGGAATCCAAGTTGTTTAGACCAACCGTTTTCGTTTAACTTACGAACAAATTTAACGTAGAACTTGCAAAAATGGACTTGAGGCGATATCTCCGTAACGCATTCACCGATTCACACCAAACTTGGTGTGTGTTATGACAACTAGGGTCTAAGAATAATTGCGGAGTTTCGGCGCACTGCCCCCTACTGGTCCGGAGATACTAAAAACTTGCTTTTTTGCTTATAACGTCTCAACCTTTCGTCCGAAACTCCTGAAACTGGTCTCATTATATCCGGCAGAGCATGCCGAGTCGAATGATGTCTGATTTTCACAGGTCAGCCATTTTGGGCGTCGCCCATTTCGATTTTTGGCCAAAAATGCTATATTTTACCAACACATTCACATATCATTACAAAACATGGTATGCATCTTCAACCCCATGCCCTGAAAGTACTCAAAAACGTCTGGAGCAGCGCCACCTTATGGCCAATAGTGCTTGGCCCCTTAATTGCTGCTTGCAGCTATATTTATTATTATTATTATTATTATTATTATTCTTCTTCTTCTTCTTCCGTTTCTTCCGCCGGATTTGAATGGCAGCCCATATAGGCGTATGCGGGAAAGTTGTATAATTTGGCACATTGATAGAGGCCAGTATTAACATTAATCAGGCCAATTATGAAGTCTCAAAATCAAACTCTCTAGCGCCACCACTTGTCCAAACTTTCACGTATGTTTATCATCATAACTTTTGAACCGAATGGGCTACAATCAAAATTCTTTTTTCCTCTGATTCCTTGGCTCTGTCCGATTCAAACCCACCCTATGACGTCATTTTCCGTCATGACTTTTTTCGCGCTATTTTAAATTTTTCGAAAAACCTATTTGATCGAACTCGTCCTAGGCCGTGTCTCCGATTTTCACCTAAATTGAATCACATGATCTACAGACCATGCCAACCAAAAGTTATGGAATTCAAGTTGATTAGACCAACCGTTTTTGTTTAACTTACGAACTAATTTAACGTAGAACTTGCGAAAATAGACTTGAGGCGATATCTCTGTAATGCATTCACCGATTCACACCAAACTTGGTGTGTGTTATGACAACTAGGGTCGAAGGTTAATTGCAGAGTTTCGGCGCACTGCCCCCTAGTGGTCAGGAGATACAAAAAACTTGCTTTTTGGCTTATAAGGTC